ATATCGATGGAATAGATAACACGACAGCTATTAACTTCGTCAATTAAATGAGGGAAATGAATTCAGAAATCTGAACAGGCTCTCTAGAGAAATTTGGGGATTCTGTGAAGCAAACATATTTTTGTTACTGCAGCTTATATATATTAACTCGTCATCAGATAACTAGACGGCAGACGCAGTCTAGTCTTGATCAGTGAATATATGAGCAGATTATCCAACTATTTGTTTCTTCAAATATTGACTTTTTCGCTAATTATTCAAATACCAAGTGCACGAAATTCGTATCATGGTTTCAAGACCCATAACCACTGATATCAGACGTTTCCACAGTAAACTGGGGCGAAACAATGTTTTTTTAGTCATTTTCACCGCTATCACTTTGTGAATAAGGTCCTGAGCAAAATTATAATTGATAAATCCGAGGAAATTGTGATTGCACCGAATTGGTAAAGCCAACTCTGGTACCCGCTGTTCAACAAACTACAGACCATGGAGCCGCTAATTATTCCACCCTCTAAAACCTCTTACTTTCCCCTTTCAGAGAAAGCCACCCACTCTGGCAGAATCTTTCACTGATAGCCGGGAAATTATCAGGAAAGCATTTGTAAGCAGAGGAGTACCAGAGGAGGTTATACCAATTACAATTAGTTCATTATGTATCACCTCCTCGATTAACCTTCAGACAGTATCTACAATTTGGACGTGGTATGGTTACTGCAAAAATTGGAATATTCACGCTAACGATAACTAACGTAATTTCCTTCTTGAAATTATACAATACAATCAATAGCATAGCTCTGCATTACACTTTATATGCCCACAAAAGCGATTACTTAGTTTAACACAAATCGTATACTGACGCACTGACGGGTACAGCGAGAGCGATAACAGAGAGAAGGAAAAAATTTGTTAGTCATTAGTTAAAAAGTGTGAATAAAAAGTACGACGCTTCCATCGCAATGAAGCTACTACAGAGTGTTATATTTGGAAAAGACTGTGTTCGTATAATATAGAACGAACTTCCTACAGGTAAGTCGTCTGTTCTATTTATTATATTCAGATTTTTTTTTTCTTAAGTATAGCAAAGGCTTTTATTCAAACAAAATGGTTATTATTGAACGAAATTGGACACAAATCTTATTTCAATCGATGAAACATTTTATTGTAAAATAACCATGAATCGGTATAGGTAATCCATATTTTGTGCATCATCAGAGCTACCTACTAAAAATTCATCAAAATCTCATGCTTTTTTTATGTACGGATATACGTATATTCGTATCGGAATCTCTCATAAAAACATTTTTTATGATTTTATATAGGTAAACACAACATAAGTTGGAGATAATTTTGACCGCATAGATATTCAATGCTTATTTTTGCATGCTGAATTATTGAGCTTAGTCTTCATGTTATAGAATAATTCAACTCTTCCACCTCATTATCTGAAGCGACATGTAGGAAAGGAAAATTAATTAGTACAGGGGAGGTCGGGAACATGAAAACAAAGATTTTTTCTACTTGAATATTTGTCAGGAATTGAACCGTTCTCGAGATACAGGGGGTTGAAGTTTTAATTTTATAATGACTACATTTTTGGAAATTTTCTTGACCTGGTTCCGTGAATGGGCACGAAATGTACATACAAGAGAAACATTTTTGGTAATTAAGCTTCACTTCACTATAACCATTTATCAGTTCTCGGGTGTTGAAATTGAAAAATCGGTTTGGGCGAACTTTCAACTTTGTGATGTATTTTCCGAGTCCATTACAGTATTTAATTGACCTCCAACCAATCCTCCGAAATTATTGACTATACCTGAATCACCTGAAAGTTATCATTATTTTCTCGAAATAATGACCTTTGCAGATGCATAGGTACCGAAAAAAACACTGCCGCGATTATGAAATTCAAGTGGAGATAATCATAATGCCATTTTATTACTGGATGTGCGATAATTATGATTGATTTTCATGCCCTTCAACGCCCTGTATCTAAGAAATGAAGCATCTTCAGACATATGCTCAAAGGAACTTTTTTCTCAAAACTACCTAAAGAATCCCCCTTCCGTTACGTAGTTAGGATTCTTAGGCATTCCTTTTTATGAAACGTGCCCTCGACTCCCTAACTTTTTTTTGTGCTTCTGTATATGCAGCTATAATGATAATGTATAGGTATAGAACTCATTGTCTAGTTCACATTAGTTTTTGATTCATGCTTTTAGTTAATTACACACTGCTGTATCTCGAGAACGAAGCGTTTACGGACACGTATTTTTTATGTTTGTTTTGGGTCCCACTACGACCCCTGAGAGTTTGTCGGCATATATTTATGGGACACCTTGTATAAGTAGGTATTCAGCAGAGGATTTCATCGAACATCAGAACTCTTCTCCCTTTATAATTTCGTATCATTAAAATATAGGTAATCACCTATTCATATTTTCATACTACGAAATATGTATAGGTTAAAACTGGAAATACATAAGGGCTTAACTAATAAAAAAATTGGACTGAACATTCGGAAAATATGATCAATCATGCTTTTTTTCAAGTTTTAGAGCCTTTGAACCAGTTGATTTATACTTTTTTGAGAGACTTTGAAATTGTAGGACCTCTGTTTTTGAAAATGATAACTAACTGGAAATTACTTTGATTATGTATTCTCAGGAAGTAGAGGATGACAAATAGTAGGTTTTCATTTTCACTATTTACAAGGCTTGGTAGTAATCCTGTATAATGATAGTTGATATGTATTACCTAATGAAAATTTATTGAAAATGATGACTTATTTTATTATACGAATGCTATTTTTCAAATATAAATCGAATTATTCCAATGATCATAATTTCCTTAAAAAATAACGATCATTTTCATCACAAGCCATAATATAATTCTGAAATACATAGTTCTTAAATTCAATGTAATATCGTTCGATTCATTGTTTCATTCTAGAAATGATTATTTTGATGTAAAAACTATAGTTCGAATTATATTTCACGAGTTTGATCAAAGTGCTAGAATCGGAGGTTAAGTGATTAACTTAAAATGTTACAATTTCTAAATCCCTAATCGTTTTCAGATTACCATCCACTTTTCAGATCACATAATTGTTCAATGGTGTGAAATCTTGAATTATAGTATATCTGATATGTAGAATTGATAACTCAACATATTTCAACATAAAAAACGATATTCGATCAAATTCAAAACATCATTCCACCCTCTATCTATTATATATAACAATAAACGCTTTTCAAAGGAAGTTATTGTCATTCATTTATACATATCGCGAGCCCATAAACGTACAGCAAGTATATTTTTCAAATTTGATCCTTCGACAATTTATATGAAATTCACAATGTGTACATCTTGACCGTTGACATATGAATACCATACCATCTAACAACTTGCATTCTTCAATGTTTCCATATTTTATGTTCCAGTGATATATTTATGTATATATACCATATATTATACTGTGTGTCTCACTTATAATGGAAGCACCCCTGTATCTTACGTCTTCGTTGGGTATAGAGATCCTGAAATTTGCTGGAGCGAGAGATTTAGCAAAAATACACTCTATGACCAAGTATGGTCATCTTCAGTGATATACACTGCTCGCCAACAGCCATGGAACCACCCCGATTTTCGGAAAATGATATCAGGAGTCGAAATAGGTTGAAAAACGATTCGGAATCAGGACGCCCAATTCACTAACTATCCATATTTCTCCTGGAAATGTTCAGTTCTGAAAATTTCCTTTTTGTCCCACTTTTCATGGAAACACCCCCGTATCTTACGTAATCGTAAAATATACTCTATGACCAAGTATGATCATCTTCAGTGATATATACTGCTTGCCAACAGCCGTGGAACTACACACATGTCCGTCCTTGAAATAATATCAAGAGATAGGTTAAAAAGGACTTCGTATTCGGAAACAGGACGTCCAATTCACTAACTTCCCATGTTCTGACGCATTATCATTCGGATTCGGAAACAGGACGTCCAATTCACTAACTTCCCATGTTCTGACGCATTATCATTGGCATCAATTTTGGTATCAATTTTCTTCATACTACTACGGGGGGTGCATGTTTTCATGGAAAGTGAGACAAAAATGAATTTTTCGGAACTGAATTTTTTCCAGGAAAAATATGAATAGTTAGTCAATTGTGCGTCCTGATTCGGATCCGAAGTGATTTTCAACCTATTTTGACTCCTAATATCATTTTTCGGAAATTGAAGTGGATCCATGGCTGTTGGCGAGCAGTGTAAATCACTGAAGATGGCCCCACTTGGTCATAACGCGCAGTTTTGGTAAATATCGCGCTCCAACGAATTTCAGAATCCTTAACCAACGATTACGTGAGATAAAGGGGTGTTTCCACGTGTTTCCATGTGAGACACACACTGTATATATATGTTTCCTTATCGTCAATATAGCTTTAGACAAATTGAGGAATTGTCAAGAAAAATCTTAATTCTTACAAATATTTTCGGTAAAGCACAAGTGAAATTAACATGTTTGTCGTACGAAAAATTAAAGTAATCCTCGTTCAGAGTGTACAACATGGATATCTGTACTTTATTGATGAATTGACAGTTTTCACGAGTATGGTTAATCTATGCGGTTCTATAAAATTATAGCCTTTTTCTACGGTTATGGCTTATTTCGTTTATTTATGGGCTCCCTGATATGACCTATTTTTCACTAAGAGCATGTTTTTCAAAAATATACACTTCAAGAAATCATTTACTACATTAGGTATGTACAAATACACCAAAAGTCACTTCTAGCTTATAAATTATATTGAAAATTTAACTATTCTTCAACTTTTATCAATACAAAAACGGTACCTACTTTATATACTATTTGCAAATAAATATACATTTAAAATTTAAATTTCTCTTACTGCAGGATGATAAGGAAGATAGTGCAACTATATTTACAGTTGAAATTCATTATTGAAGGCCTAATCATAGAACTCATTCAATCATGATAGAAAAGCAACAACACACTTTACAACCCCTAATAACAGTACAGTGCCGCAAAGAGACATCGAGGACGCTGCTCCACAAATGTGAATCTCAATCTCCTATAAAACAATATTTGAACTATATTTCTATTACCATTCAGTTGTACCTATATGCATAATTTCAGCCAAAATCAACTTCACAGTACTACGCGTCTGAACTGCCATCTTGAAAAACTTTTTTTTCACGACCATTTGCCTTATTTACAGTTGCAACTGTGAATTAGAACTAGAGAACTTTTTTTTTACACATCTCCTAATGTACAGTTACATCAACTGTAAATTAGGCAGAGGAAACTATTTTATTCAAAACACCTCCTAATTTACAGTTGCAACTGAAAATTAGGAGATAATTCGGATGCTTCGGATGACACTTAAAAAGCTAAGGTCCCCGTCTTCTTAACTCACACAAGTCTCTGACTTTCGAGGGTTGCTTTGCAACTAAGCTGGCGGTTAAAAACACTTTTTTTTTTTTAATTGGAAAAAAGTTTCTTCTGCCTAATTTACAGTTGCAACTGTGAATTAGAAGGTGTTTTGAATAAAATAGTTTCATCTGCCTAATTTGCAGTTGTAACTGTGAATTAGCAACTGTGAATTAGGAGATAATTGGTAAAAGTTTCTTCTGCCAAATTGACAGTTGCAACTGTGAATTAGGAGGTGTTTCGAACAAAAAAAGTTTCCTCTGCCTAATTTGCAGTTGTAACTGTAAATTAGCAACTGTAAATTAGGAAAAATTGAAAAAAAATCTTTTGCCTAATTTACAGTTGCAACTGTAAATTAGGCAGAGAAAACTTTTTTATTCAAAACACCTCCTAATTTACAGTTGCAACTGTAAATTAGGAGATAATTGTAAAAAAGTTTCTTCTGCCTAATTTACAGTTGCAACTGTAAATTCGGCAGAGAAAACTTTTTTATTCAAAACACCTCCCAATTCACAGTTGCAACTGTAAATTAGGAGACAATTGTAAAACAGTTTCTTCTGCCTAATTTACAGTTGCAACTGTGAATTAGGAGGTGTTCTGGATGAAAAAGTTTCCTCTGCCTAATTTGCAGTTGTAACTGTAAATTAGCAACTGTGAATTAGGAGAAATTGATAAATAATTCTGCCTAATTTACAGTTGCAACTGTGAATTAGGAGGTGTTTTGAATGAAAAAGTTTCCTCTGCCTGATTTGCAGTTGTAACTGTAAATTAGTAACTGAAAATTGGGAGAAATTATAAAAAAAAATATTTTGCCTAATCTACAGTTGCAACTGTAAATTAGTCAGAGGAAACTTTTTTTCAAAACACCTCCTAATTTACAGTTGCATTTATGAATTAGGAGATATTAAAAAAAAAATTTCTTTGCCTCTAATTTACAGCTACAATTGTGAATTAGGAAAATGTTAAATACTGTCTGTAGGTTAATCGAGGAGGTGGTACATTCATTTTACTTGGTTCTTTGGGATTTTCTCTCCTCGTTTCTATAAAATAAAAGTATTCGTATTATTTCAATATATTTGTAGAGGGACAAATCAGATGATTTGCCCCAAAATGTCACTGCGTTTAACAAATTTTTCTATCAGGGAGTCTAAAAGAAAAATCCAGTAGCTTGTCAGTGACAATTTGTTTGAAAAAATTTTTGAAGGAAAGAAATATAGATATATTGAAAAAATATCGAATTTTTACTTATCTTTGGACGTTTCGGGACCGATTCTGCTCCCGTTCTCAACATGTAAATGCAAATTATTTTTCTTTGAAAGTTGTGCTGCGTATAGTTTGACACTTTTCAGTGTCATACTGATGTTGGCATATGAATGAGTGATTTTAGTCTACAAATGAGTTACAGGATGTTTTCTTTAATTGATCTTGAATCTACCATTTTCATGTTCAGTTTTCAGTAGTGAATACCATGTTCTATCAATATCAACTGAACAGGAAGCAATGCTATTGTCTCCGTTTAGAAGAATGCAAGCGGATTCCTTTATTTTTCTTTTTTGTTTGTTATCTTCCTTTCCTATGATTTTGATATTATTCCACTGTGCCATATGTTGTCCATCTTCAGTGAGGATATGTTCAGTTAGCTTCGATTTATCGATATGTCTTTTTTTGATATTGTACTTGTGTTCTTTTGTCCTTACTGAGAGAGGTCTCTTCGTTTCACCTGTATAATACTTTCCACAAAATGAAGAACAGTCATCAAAAAATTGTATTTATAGTATACCTTGTGTTTGTGGAAAGTATTATACAGGTGAAACGAAGAGACCTCTCTCAGTAAGGACAAAAGAACACAAGTACAATATCAAGAAAAGACATATCGATAAATCGAAGCTAACTGAACATATCCTCACTGAAGATGGACAACATATGGCACAGTGGAATAATATCAAAATCATAGGAAAGGAAGATAACAAACAAAAAAGAAAAATAAAGGAATCCGCTTGCATTCTTCTAAACGGAGACAATAGCATTGCTTCCTGTTCAGTTGACATTGATAGAACATGGTATTCACTACTGAAAACTGAACATGAAAATGGTAGATTCAAGATCAATTAAAGAAAACATCCTGTAACTCATTTGTAGACTAAAATCACTCATTCATATGCCAACATCAGTATGACACTGAAAAGTGTCAAACTATACGCAGCACAACTTTCAAAGAAAAATAATTTGCATTTACATGTTGAGAACGGGAGCAGAATCGGTCCCGAAACGTCCAAAGATAAGTAAAAATTCGATATTTTTTCAATATATCTATATTTCTTTCCTTCAAAAAATTTTTCAAACAAATTGTCACTGACAAGCTACTGGATTTTTCTTTTAGACTCCCTGATAGAAAAATTTGTTAAACGCAGTGACATTTTGGGGCAAATCATCTGATTTGTCCCTCTACAAATATATTGAAATAATACGAATACTTTTATTTTATAGAAACGAGGAGAGAAAATCCCAAAGAACCAAGTAAAAAGGAAAATGTTCGTGAAAAAAAAAGTTTTTTCAGGATGGCAGTTCAGACAGATCTATCAAAATGTGATTGCGCTATTCCGTTTTATCCAACATATTACCAAGTTCGATTCACCTAAGCTATTCAAAAATGATATATACACTGATGTGTCAATATGAGGACTAGTATGGGCATCTCGGAAAATATTGTATATAGAGATTTGGTTTCGCGGGAAAAAGTCTGATTGATGAGCCAATGAAATGACTAAAATGCTATAACTTCAAATAGGCTAAGGTTGAAACCTATAAATACGATGATTTAATTATATACAAGATGTCCTCCAGGTTGATGCAAAACTACGAGGAGCTGGGCAGGAGACGTCATTTTGAACCTATTCTGCTACACTTACATCAGTACAAAGTCTTTTTCCGAGGTATTCGCAGTTCTGAGATATTTTATATCCTGCAATATCTACAAAAAATGAGAGACAACCTCGACTATTTGTTCAAATACTTCTCTGATATGTGACATTTCGAATGATAAAAGTATCGTAATAATTAACTGGTAAGTAATTAATTCACCAATGTTAACTTCAGTAGATTGAAGATTGTAGAAATTGGGTACCTAATGTAGTACTGCACAGGAGAAAAAATTATGAACCTGATATTAATCACTCATGGTGATTGAGCACAGATTCATTGACAGAACGTAATTTTCATTGGTGCAACTTCCAACTATGATTACAAAATAATGAATACTAGTGACTGGTTCATCAACAACTTGGTTAATATAATGAACTCTTGACCATTATAATGATGTAATAATAACATCAAACTGATGAAGGAAGTAATAAATATAATGTTTTCTTCATCGGGACAATGTGAAAAATGTATCTATACACAATATTTAAACAGCACCTATTTTTCAACTCGTATGTAACCATACTGAACAACTTTGCACGATACGATGTTCCGAAATAAAACCAGTTCCAGATTTCAGGGAGGGAAAATATGAAGTTTTTTTCCAATTTATCCCTCAGTTCCAACTATCCCCATTCTACGGTACTTTCGAATGAAAGCTCAGAAACCGGTGTAACAAACCCATTTCAAGCAGATTGACAATTCCAAAAATATTTTGAGTTACCTACAGCAATATAGAAGACTTCATGCATTCATCAATTCATTCGTTCAGACACTTCACCAAATCATGTTCTAGATTTGTTAACAACTTTCTCAATTTCGCAACAAAGAATATTAAAAATAAAATATCTAGAAGTTCACTAAGATGTCATACGAACAAAATAAGTTATTTTACTTGATGTACCACCTCCTCAATTAACCTACAGACAGTATTTAATATAAGTTATAACAATGTTTTGTTATCAGAATTTATATAGTGATATCAACTATCAACTCTATCAAGAGAATGTTGATGAGATGAGAGCACAAAAGAGTACTTATACAGGGTGGCATTGAAATAAGTGCAAATATTTTAAACACTGAGAAGGCTCGACCTGTACTATCGAATGGCACTAATTAAAAAAATTGTGGCTCAATAAGTTTCAAATTACGTCTCCTGTCAGCGCCTAGGAGGTTTGCATCAACCTGCAGGACACCCTGTACATCACCTTGCTGTAGGTCGTCTTCCCTTGCCATACTTATTAAATAAGATCATCTACTACGATTCTCTAACTTACCTCAGGGTGATAATTTATACATTTCGGTGGTCTTCTTCTGTATAAACTATCTTTTGGTTTATGTAGACAACCGCCGTTCTTAGATTCATAGCTGACTTCTTGGGGAATTATGCTAAGTTGTTTACTACCGCAAGGACACACTGTATCCACGACGAGAAGAATTAAATTACTATGAGGAATTTTCTGTACACTGAAAGGCCTGAAATGAGAAAAATGTATAGAACACTAACTGCAACCATATAAATCCTTCCCCTTATATTCTTATATTGTTATCAAGGAAAAGGCAAGGACGGGTAAGGCAAGGACGGGGCTAAAATGTAATGGTTACTGTAAATCCCTGTGCTTTCATGGGTCCAACAAAATGGCAAGCATAATAGGCGAAAACATACTCATTTCTAGAAAAAAATACCATGAAGTTCACGATAATGCCATGGATAAACTGAAGAGAGAGCTGAATAGGTTATTAAACCTGACTCAGAGATAAACCTGTTTAAACAACAAGAATCAACAGTGAACATAAAAGCCACATTATTCATTCAACCTACAAAAAGACAGAGCAAAATAATCCATGTCCTTAGCATTCTCATGGCACGATCAACAGAACTTTATACGAGATTCCAGCCATATTTCTAGATAGGCTTCTCAATGTCTTATGATCATCTTGCCAAGATAGCCATCAAGTACGCATCATACATAGCTGGTACTTCTCACCTTCGTCTAGAATATTTTAACGTCACAGCTGCTTTCGACAAATTTTCGTTACCACCTCTTGAACATTCACTTGAGGTTCTGCTCCAAAGAAGACAGACTCATTGAGTCAAGATCATGATCGCGAGTCAAAGCCGGCTCTATAACAATCTTACAATCGACCAATTACATACATACATTTACTCTTGAAAATTTAACAAATCCATTTCGTTGCATCAAATATAGCATTGTTTTTCGAACAAGAAATACCTGTGACGCAACAGAACGGGTATACCTAGGTAATTTATGGAATTTTGTTCAGAGGAAGCTAAAGGTACTAAGCTATGAGAACGATCGTGTTTGATTGTATATAATTGGGATTGGGATAATAAATCAAGGGTTGATAATAATCAACTGTTATAAAATGGCTCACCTTTCGCAGCCACTATTATGGCAATTCGTCAACTTCCCCTTCAGAGGATTACTTTGTCCGCTAGTATTCAACTTTTCGGGTTGCAGTATGTAAAGATCCACTTTTCGATCGCACGGTCTGATGCCGAACTGTCCTATATCGATACCTTCCATTGGGTCTGACTCATAAGGAGGAATGAAAGATGGGGAGTAGGTATTTGAAGGGGGAGTCTCGTGATCGTCTATGATGTCCTCGCCGGTTGGGTACTGTTCTATTTCGTAGTCAGAGTACACATCTATCAAATCATCTAAAAAATTATGATGTGTTCAACCCTGATACAGAATGTGTCGAATCGAATTGTGTCACTGCAAGACGCGATGACTCTATATACGTACAGTGACTTTCAGAAAGTTAGCATCATATGGGAAACACTATTGATTATAATTTATTTAGAAATTCGACATTAGTTTTACGTTTCGCTTTAAGGAAACAAGAAAAAATGCCTACTCGGCCGGGGTTACGTTACTTTCGCTATGTCAAAAGTTACAATTATTCAAATTAATCGCTGGAAATAGGCTTATTTGTTTGGATTTCATGATGCGAAAGTTACGGGACCCCCTTCGAGTAGTCAATTTTTAATTGTTTTCAGTGCAACGAAAGAATACCGGCTTCTTCATTTTATGTAAGCAGTATCATTTTTTCAGCTCAATGTTGAAACACCCTGTACAAGTAACTCTCCGAGTCGTGCCAATTATTTGAGATGTAACAAAATATTAGTATTTCGAGTTGAAATCATATGGATATAAATACTAGGTACATACTTTCATCTCTATTGTAGGCCAGAGCTGTTCCATAAATCATTTCAATCTTTGAAATGAATGCAATCAAACTCTTCAATATGAAACTATAGAAAATTTTGACCGGATCGAATATCTGAAATAAAGAAATCATACAACGGTCCTGCAACCAGGATTTCACGTTTGTACACTATATTCTTACCTTTAAATCAATTTTGTTACCGCTTCCACTGTAGTGGAATTTACTATTCGAACAGGCTCCTTGGTAATCGTATACGGGAACTTTTACGTAAATTCTGTCTTGCACTAGAGAGTCCATTATTGTCCCATCTATTTGGCCAAAGAATCTCCCAGTATGCTCAGCAGTTTCCGATATGACTATGAAACCATTGTTATCAAGAACGTAACAGTCCAACTTGTCACTAGCACAGGTTTTACATGAGCTAGAGCCGGTGCACTATAATATAATTCAAGATAATTAGGAAATATGTAGACCTGAAGACATTGATTGATAAACTCAAACTGTGAAACTATGGGGCAAGTGGAAGTATATATGGGGCAAGGGGAACTTAACTAAATTTCTGCGAGCACACTGCCCCCCCCCCGGTAATTTCGCTGAACCCTCATTCTTTCCAGGTAGGAATTTCAATGAGCCCAAATAACATCCACCGCCTTACCTTGGGACTCCCGAAGAAAGGAGTGTAGTCACTATATATCTATCGTGTTTATTCAAAAGTTGAATCGGTTCAAGTATACCCAATACACTAGACTAGAACGAAACTCGTCGACGTTCGTATTGATTTAATACGAGAGAAATATGAAAAAGGAAGTGTATTTATTCACAGAATACAAATCCACGACAGAACGGCAGGCTGATTTTTCACAAAACCACTATGTAGAAAGACTTCTCAGTATTTGCTAGACATTTTAGGAATTGAACAAAACAAAATACTTCAATAAACAGGGAGTAACTAAAACATTTAGAAAGTGGAAGTGTTGCATTCATTCTCAATGTTTTAGTATTCGTATTGATCAACACCCTGTGTAGTTATGAATCTAGAATGCTATTGTATATTCAACTGTTGGTTATGTTGATTACGTATGTGTCAGATATTTAATCCTCACAACAAGGTATCAAATTTTATGAATAGTTACCCTAATTTCGACTCTACTGACTATGAGTTGCATAAGTTTGACAGCAGTATTCAGTTATTAATATGAAGTGAAATGTGTGTTTCAAAGTTATAGTTTCCTTCTGTTCTCATTTCTGAGATATGTGAGAGAGAGTCAAGTTCAATAGAAATATTGAACTTTATGTGCGTAGATATTTAGGAACTACACCGTATAACTCATAATTCTTGGGTGAAATTATGATAAATACTAGTGAAGTTGTTCCTGGGCCTGATCTTACCTTGGAAGTAATATTGAAGAAATGCGATGCAAGCGTTGAATGCTGATACTGCAGCCCCACTACAGCTGCTGCAGCCCTATGACCTTTATGTTCAACGAAAACAGCGTGCGTTGCAGTTATAAGGGGTCTTCCATATGCCCCAACATCGAATGGAACAGAGAACACGAAACTTTCTGGTTCAATTGAGTGATGGTCCACTGCTCTTTTATACCAAGTTTCGTCCATAGCACGAACATTGCTCTCACTAAAGTGTCTGGAAACAATAAACCATGATTCAGAAAGTGTTACATTTCTAGAAGAAAATGAAATAGATAAGTAATTAATTCATCGGATAATACATGGAAATCTAGTCATGTTATTGCCTTCTAGTGGCATAGTTTTAGGGTAGAATCATGCAATCGCGGCATACACTGTATGACGCTGCCATTTGTGGCAACAACGTGCAGACCCCTACGTCTACGAAGTAACAAGGTGGTACTACAAGTAAACCACTCTGCTGACAGATGGCACTATGTGCCTATACTGGAGTGGAATGATCCACCATCAGTCCTATTCATCGAACTAGATCTCATAACAGTCATGACTTAGAGATCTAAGATGATCAGAGTTGTCCCAAAATAATCATCAGGAGTGGAAGAGTACTGTTTCAGCCTACCAGGCATCATCAGCCGCTCTCGGTCCGCAGACAACTGGGACAACTGAACGCTTCGGGTATATCACCCATTTCGAAGACGCCGGATGATACAAGTATATGTGCTATGCATGTTCCAGGTACTTTTTCAATGTACATCTCCATGAGAAATGTTGAGGTTTAAAACAGCAAAATTGGGTCATTCAAGTTCATCTGTCTCCGACGAGTGACCTAACCAAGAACGGCGCTTTATAATGAAAATGAAAAAAAAAAACCATAATATATAAGATGTTTGAGAAAACCTGATCCGAACAAGAAATTGAAAAACATATACAGGTTGAATCGGACTAACCCACTTCTGGTTAAAATCAGCTGACCAATCACCATAACATTTGACGAATGCCGTTGCCGGTGCTTCAGACCTCACTGATAGCAAACACTTTCAAAGCGGATTGCTTGAAGGGCCCTAATAAAAGGGCCATATAGTAAAGATTCAGTAAAGATTACCTCAACTATGTTGTGGCATATCAAATAGAAGGTAACTTCTTTAATTTAACGAAAAATTATATTTGAGAATCTCAAGGGCGCCATAAAGTAAATATCAACTTGACTGTAGGTTGTATCATATCAAATGAAAGTCTCCTTGAATTCTACCAGAATTAATTTGTGTTGGGCTTTGAGAGTTATTTAGTAAAAAACAACTCAACTATAAATTGTAGAACATCAAATGGAAGGTTTCAACACCAATTCTATGAAAAATTATTTTTGAAGTGTCTCAAGGGTATAATATGAAAAAAATAATTGATGATGATTTTTGGTTGTAATCCTGCCATCTCTGATTCCACCCACCAGGGTTGTTGTCAGTCCTAAGTCCGATCAGTTTATGTGATACCAGTGAAACTTAGAACGGTAAGGGGACCCAGAAAGAACTTTAAGCTATACACTCATTCGAATCTCAGAAATCCCCGGGACCAGATGGGTTACAGAAGACGATTTTGACGACCCTACATATAAACGCTGTATGATCTTATGATCCATTTCGAGCGTGATGTACTCAAGAATATTCTGCAGCACACTGTGACGGATCCTCAGAATCGAAGAATATTCTATGCCAAGAACAGTCGGAAAAAACATGCAGAGACAGTTCCAGTCTCCTGAGTTATAAAGTCAGACAAGACGTGGGGGTGCTGGAGCAGTTGATGGAATGAAAAATGAGGTTACAAACATCAGAGGTGCCGACAGTAAGTGAGACTACTAGATCTTAAGAAATGATTGAAATCATGCATTGATATTTTTGCCGCATACTTACGGTTCGTTGGATTTCACGTTGGTTAAATTTGTCCATCGAAGAAGACCACTTCTTGTCGCAACGAATGATAATGTTGATCCAAAAATCTCGTATCCTTGGCTGCAATATATGAGAGAGTTATCATAAGAAATGTCTGGTGTTCTGGTATGTACGTTAAAAATGTAAGAGCAATTCAGAGTAGTGACAACTGGGAATATAAAGGCATGAGAGGCATAATCAGATGAAGTTCAAGAGGTTTCAACATTGAAATGGTATCAAACGAACGATATTTATAATAGGTGCACAGGAATGTCAACAATTTTTATATCTACAGGAACCTTTCTCTTACGAAACATTTATTTATTTATGCAGGGTGTTTCCAAAATCGGGGCTACATATAGAATGAGGTGTGTTGTATATGATACAGAATGACACGTCCTCGTCGGAAGCAAACGCTTGGGTTAGGATCTACGTTTGACCAATGAGTTTAAAGTGATTTAGGCAAACTGTGGAGTTCCAATATCTACCAAAAAAGTTATTTTTTCGAAGAGAATGTATTCTTCAATTTCTTTATGTTTTATCATTTGCTATTGATCATTTCATCTGTCGCACCAATTTACGAAAAACCCTGTTTATATATTTTTCGATTTTTCACTTTGCTCGATGTTATGTGGGTATATCTCATTTCAACAGTTTGTCAAAGAAAATGGCACATATAACTGGAACCAAACCTATTCTACAATACCCCGAATTCATCTTTTTTTGTCGAACCAATTCAAGCTGATAGTATCCAATTTAATTTAATTTCCAGCTTATCAAGAGATGTGAATGAGCAGATGAGATATTCATCCTATGTCCTGCTTTCATTCTTATCTAATTTTCACTTCATCTCTACGTAGCTTCAGAGAGTTTCAAATATAAAAATATTTATTCGTAGCTATCATATATCCATTTCCTTTGTATTTTCTCTAGGGCTTCAAATCGAACGACAGTCACTTATACTTACGAGATTCCTGGTGGCTAAAATATTTTATGCTAAACTTTTTATAATCAAGCAAGTGTCCAAGACGTCTTATACCATTGATCATCATAGATTTCTAATACAGTGATGATCTTTTTTTTCTGTATTATGTAGCAGATTTAGTATGTTTTGGGGAGGAAATGATAGAAGCAATCAGGGGGATTATGAATGATCTGCCGAATAGAATATATGTCGTAGACTTATAGAATAGAGAAAATCCGTTCTCTCATGAAGTACTTCATGAAACGTATTCCTCCTCAGTATATTAACAAGTTTTGTGAGGTAAATGTGAAAATTGTTAACATTTCATGATATCATCCTTATTAGCTTTGTACACCAACGATCTTGTTGATATATTCAAATTGAGGAAGGATATCATAGGTACGTTTTCATGACATGCCGAGGCTTTTTATAATATAAGTGATATCACCATGTAACTACGGTATACATTTGGATGTACATACATAATATAGAGGACACTTTGATGTTTCTAAATCATTCCCAATTGATGTTTCCATCGTATTTTGTAACTGAGACACCTACATAACGTTATCTTGATTATGCCAAATTTTCATGTGGTTATAACTGTTCAACCACTTTTTATATATTTCATCATATATTCCCAAAGGATAGAGAGAGCCATCAATATTGAGCTTATCAAACATCTGGAAAGCTCGAGAATCACGCACTATCGGCAATATGACTCTTCACATCACCTACGTCCCGCATGAATGGCATTCTTTACTTGAAAAATATGGAAAAATCGCTAGCGGTGGCGTTGAATATACATATATGCATATTACCGTATTTGGCACCACCATATGGCTCAACATCTCAGATTTGCCTTCTTCCATCATGTTTTCTTTCAGACAGATCGCTCCATGTGGTGGTGTACGAGGTATTGTCTGATACCATAGCTATCAATTCCGGCGTTCCACAAGAATACATTTTGTAACCAACATTGTTCCCACTCCATATCAATGATCTGTTGTGAGTTACCACCTGTCCTATTCACAGCTTTCCCAGATAGCACACACTCGCCTAAGGACATCCTCAATGTGTCGCCAAACGCCTGGAGAGGACGTTCTATTTTCTACAACCTAAGAACATCATCAGGCGTAAATTTAGCGCTGTAATCGTCCTAAATGAGTTCTTTCAGTGACAGCCTGAGGATGTGAAGAATTTCGTGCCTACGGACGTCTTCAGATGACATTCCATGAAATAACGTGTCATCGAAGACAAAAGGAAGAAAAACAAGAACTAGAATTGAGGTTATGTCTCATGATAGTCATGATTTGTTCAAGATACATCATAATATATTAATGATTATATCAAAATTATTAGAGTATTCATTGAATACCTTCATCAAATTTCTATTTCACAAAATGATTGCGAGAAGAACTTATTGCACAGAATTAAAAGATAACAATAACAAAAGGATGATAATCTATGTTGATGACATTTCTCTCAGGTAGCAAGAAACAATGGTGAGTAAATACTAAATAGAATTATTGATAGTACCGGACATGAAATATTGATACATTCATATACATTATTTATTTTTTCAGGAGGTTATTGAGAACACAAACTTGATGATATCATCATAGCAAACATGTTTTATTCCAAGATAGCTTTGCTTCTTCGGAATCTATAAAATATTGTATGGAAGCTTGAAGTATGAATTCAATAAAGGTAGGTGTACCTGAATCAAATCATTTATATAGTAGGTACTGGACATGAAATGTTATTAGGTTAATTATTTGTTTCAGATGGAGTTATTGAGAACACAAGATTGATGATGTCATCAGAGCAGAGATGTTTCATTCCAAGATATTTTGGCTTCTTCGAAATCTATGTGAGATTGCCTATGATGCATGTTTGCACTTTCAGTATATTCAATAAAGGTAGGTACCTAAATCAAATCATTGATATAGTAGGGACTGGAACATGAAATATTAATAGGTACTTTATTTGTTTCAGGAGCAGAGATATTTTATTCCAAGATATTTTGGCTTCTTTGGAAATTATGAAAGATTGTACATATGCAGACTTGAACTTTCAGTAGATTCAATAATGGTTGGTACCTATAACTACATAAATCATATCATTGATAGTAAGTACTGGACATGAAATATTAATACATTGTTTGTTTCAGGAGGTTATGCAAATCACAAACCTGATGATATTTTCATTCCAAGATAGTTTTGCTTCTTCAGAATCTATAAAATATTGCATGAAGGCTTCAACTTCCAGTTCTGCATCAGGAATGTCCAGAGTTCAGAAATCAAAAACAACATGGAGAAATATAACTATCAATAGGCAATAACTTCTAGTAGTGCTCAACAAGAAGCTGAAATACATTTCTTTGAAAAGGAAATTGAAATTTTTCAGAATAAGTTATAAATAATAGAATGTAAGTTTTTCATTTCGTTTTTCATTTGAACCTATTATAAATAGAGGGAAATTTTGCAAATATCATGAGATCCATATTATTTTGAAGAAATTATCATTTACATAATACAAGGTGAGTCAATAGTTTGTTATCCTTGTATATTAGCCAAACCATCAGATAAATAGAGAAAATTCAAGTACAACAGAGATAGGGTTTCACGAGAACTTTCACTTTGAATTGTTTTCATATATATCTGTAGGGTGTTCGAATTCCAAGATGTATTGACTGATGATTGTTTTTTCCAAATGGGACACCCTGTTTACTATTGCATTTTTAGGTTCTTCCTGAAGAGCTGATTCCATCAATGCATCACATTTGGGGTCTAGCGGGAATGATTACAGAGATATAGGGTGTTCAAAAACAAGATTTTCCAATTTTAGGATTTTTTTGTGGAAACTATTCAATATTGGTCAAAACGGCTCACATATCCTCATAAACTTTCGATTTACTATCTACTGACATTCAATCGCAACAAATAGAAGGTGGGTTGACATTCAGAATACTGATCAGCTTATTTTGTATCTGTTCCAAATAAATATCAGTAGATAGCTAATCAAAAGTTATGACAGGAACATGTGAGCCGTTTTGACCATTAATGAATAGTTTCGACACAAAAAATCCTACATTTGAAGAATCTCAATTGTCAACACCCTATATCTCTGTAATAATTCCCACTAGACACCAAGTGTGATGCATTGATGGAATCAACTCTTCAGGGAAAACTCAAAAATGCAATAATATACAAGGTGTTCCATTGAAAAAAACCAATCATCAACCGATATCTTGGAATTCGAACACCCTATAGATATGAAAACAACTTTAGGTGATTGTTCTTATGAAACCCTATTACTGTTGTACTTGAATTTTCATTTCATATATCGGACGGTTTGGCTAATATCGGAGGAGAACACACTATAGTGACTCATTCTGTATACGAATAATATTCTTCCATAAATCTTGAACCTCCTTGAAACATCATCAAAAACCGCCTCAAGTTGTTACCATGATGTCCTGAGGTTGTCTCAAAAGATTTTATAGGGATGTTCTGAGACGTTATTAGTATGTAGACAATGGTAACAGGAGGACGTCTTGAGAATGTCCTCAGGCTCGCTCTCGACGTCCTGAGGACATGATTGTGAACGCCTCAGAAGGGCCTCAAAAGGAATTTGTGCTATCTGGGTTACGAATGATAGATTTGCGCCTTCTCCACATCATCAATTCTAATGCAATAATGATCTTTTTTTCGGTATTATGAATCAGATTTAGTATGTTTTGGGGAGGTGATGAAGCAAGCAGGGGGATTATGACTGATCTTCGGCCGAATAGTATATATTTCGTAGTCTTATTGTTACGGAAAACATCAATGTTGTTGCTTTCAACCTTAAATCATGCGTTCTTATTTTCCCGTTTATTCAAGTTGCACTGGGACGACCCATATACTTCCCATGATGACCTGATGAGATGCGAATCTTCAGACGAAGTCGTATCTACACGTCGTCCTAGAGATATTCTTTGACATTCGATCTGACATTTTGATAAGCATAGGCGATTCCTGGTGCTTCGCGTTGTGGAATATCTCAGTATCTCACAATCATACTTATGAGTGACATTTTGTGTGTGTGCCATCTTAGCTGCTATCCCATATTCCTGCTATCCAACAAAAACGACCCTTTGTGGGGTGGAGAGGAATTTATGGTACATCGGCATATTCGTAGTATGGTGAGTCGTTGTAGTGCAACCGGGCAATTCTAATAACTCTCGTCGATTTTATTACTATCGCTGCTTGGATAACATCCATGTAATTCAAACCACATGGAGGCTATCGGATCGCTAAAATTGGTCCTTCGAGCCGGATGTACTCGACTTCTTTTGAATTGATTATACTCTTGCCACTTCTCTGAAATTTTGTGGCTGAAGGTGCGAAACCATTGAGTATTCTGCTTAATATCACGTTTCTATAACTAAGTAGATTGTTTGGAATACAAATCGTAGCCGATTATCAAACCTATTGAACAACATGAATACATGAATGAAATTCATATCATTCGAAACTTAGCGGAACTCGATGAAACTGTTCGAACAATGTTTAAAGTTTGATGCGTCGACTTGGATAGTACCCTCGATGAATTTTTGACAGAACACAACGCCATCGTCACGACATTGTTGACTCTTCCAGATAGCGATGTCGATATTGAGGACGGTGTGCGCGAAGGTATTTTAAAAATATTATTATTTTAATAATGGCGTTTACTGATCTCTTTGAATCTATCAAGAGTTCTACTACAACGCTGAGTTCGAATTCTACTCTTGCACCATCTGGGAATGCCTATCATTTGCATGTCGATCTGCCAAAAATTGAATTGGCCAAATTTGGTTATTATAAGGCATTCCCACCATATTTAGAATTGTTCAACGATCTCGTTCATTCTAATACATCGTTAACTGAAACTGAGAGATTCGATTATTCAGTCACGTCGTTACAAGGGGTTCCTTTATCGCTTGTTCGCACATTTCTGATAATTATGAAATCGCATACCATACTTATGAAAAACGAAAGGTAGACACACGTTTACGCACTCAGGCTCAATGGCTCGAGCTTGAGAATTCAGCCAGAGTTCCTGCTGATGATACCATCGCCCTTCGCAAACTATTATATACGTTTTCAGAAAACGTGGCCGCGCTCAAGTGAATGAAATTTCTTACCAACCATTGGGACTTTTTACTTGTTATGATGCTTTTGAAACATTTTGATCATACTATTATAACCCGCTTCCAGCACGAACCCAATTCCTCGGATATTCCAAATTATAAACATCTTGTTGATTTTCAGAACGAGCATTGCGTCGCACTTGAAACAATCAATTTTTCGAAATCGTCGTTCCATGCACAACGCTCTCCTTCCACTAAACCGGCTGTTCCCACACCTTCGCCAAATCGTCCTTTGTTGACTTCTACAATTTTTCTTAACAAATCTAAAACTACTAATTGTGCACTTCGTAAAGAGAATAGTTCACCTCACATATGTGCTGCCTTTGCTGCCAAATAAGAACCAGAACGACACTCTTTTTGCCGATCAGCTCATTTCTGCTTCAATTGTTTGAGCAGTGCTCATGATATACGTTTACGCAAATCCAATTACACTTGTGAAAAATGCAAATCTAGGCATCACCATACTTTATTTCCCATTGAATAATTAAATCTTCCTTCTGGATCAGATTCCAACAATTAATATATAATTCGGCATAATCTTGAACAAAATTCGTCTCCTCTTTCATTCGTCTTTTCCTACTTATTATGCGAATATCGCCAGTACCGGTGCTAGTAGTGGTACTACTACTTGTTTGGATGGCACAAACTAGTAGTTTGAATACCAGCGTGCCGTTAGCAACTGCATAGATTCTTGATAGTCGATGGGAGTATCAACCCTTGCGCTGTATAATTGATAGTGGAAGTATGAGTTCGTTCGTCACAGGACGGGCAATTCGTAAGTTGGGTTTGCCTCATTCTCAATTGGCCACTGCAATGAAAGGAATATGGATCAGGCAATATTACTCAAGTAGAGGTCAACTTACCCTCGCCATCAAGACTGCAGGAAAATACTCTCCTCTTTTGTTCACTGATGCTGTAATTCTGAATAAGATTTTTGATCATTTACCTACTTCAAAACTTTCTGTCCAAACTTGGTCCCATCTCTCAAATCTGCAACTTGCCGATCGCTCATTTCATTTTACTGGTGCTGTAGACGTGATATTGGGTGCTCACATTTTTCCGAAAATTTAATCGAACGGTAAAATATCCTGAAATTCTGATGCATCGGGTGCAATAAATACGGTGTTTGGTTATATTGTGATGAGACGGTTGCAAAATGTAACTCAATCTATTTCTTTCAAGATTGCTTCTTTTCTTTCTTACGGTGTTGAGAAAAATTTTGGTAGGTGGAGGAAATCCCAGGGGTAGAGGCAACATCACCCGAAGAAGTTTTATGCGAAAAACATTTTTCTTCAACTCACCTCAGAGATTCTCACCTTTTCGAAATCCTCATCCCACTTTTCCTAAGATTCGTGATTCAGTAGTAACGAGTATCATTGATTGGAACGTTGCCTTATGCGGGAATATCTCGAATTGATTCACATTTCACTTGTACATAAAATGCCATCTTCTGATAGAGTCTACTACATTCCTCACCACTGCGTTCAAAATCCTGAAAGTAGTATCACGAAATCGAGCAAAACGGCCCGCTAAATGATCCTCTTCTTACTGGTCCCAAATCACAACAGGACAAAGTTTTAATTTTTATAAATGTTCGCTGCTATGCTTATGCCATATGCTCCAACATACGGCAAATGTATCGCATGATACTAATAATCTCGAAGGGATTATCAGAGATGGAGATTCTAGCCGGAAGATCCGATACAGGATTATGTTCTAAACACTGTTGTTTATCGCCTGACTTCTTACCTATAATTACCTTTCCGAGTCCGGATCTAAGAGCATTAGCGAATGTTTTGGTGATGAACCTCATATGTGGGAACAGTATTCTGAAACAGGTCGAATCTGTGATTTGTAGATGAAGAGAAGCACTTGAGGTGTAAAATAGACCTTTTCGCACGGAATAAAAATTCTAGTTTTTGTGAAGCGGGATGGATCTGACATGATTTTCCCATAATAGAGTATATATCGCCGACGGAAATACCAAGCATAGATATAGAGTGGACTTTGGGCGGTGCTTTGGGAGAATGGTGGTGCCAAACACTGATATATCCGGCATACAGAGTTCCGCCTTCCTATAGAGAAAATTTAGGCTTGAGTTTTGGTGACTTCGAATTAAACTAGGTTGTTGGTTCCCCAGACCGTAATTTTTGCAAAAAAATGAATACCTACGGAGTATCAATCACGAAGTGGTTTATGAAGATTTCGTCAAAATCAAGATGACGTTCTGAATATCTCAAATGTGAATGCCGGTGAATATGAAAACGAAGAGTAATTAGGAAACCAAAATATCCTATATCTATACAAGTATATTGTTTGTACATTTGAAAATGTGTAAAATAGACCTTTTCGCACGGAATAAAAATTCTAGTTTTTGTGAAGCAGCTTTCGGGATGGATCTGACATGATTTTCCCATAAAAGAGTATATATCGCTGATGGAAATACCAAGCATGAATATAGAGTGGACTTTGGAAGAATGCTAGTGCCAAACACTGATATATGTAAAAACTTCACAAACGATCGTACCAGTATATCACCTGACGAAGCTATTGTGTTAGCGAAACATGTCGTTTGTTTGAGAATTTTCATGGAAATCTTATCGTTTGTGAAGTTTTCACATTTGCCATGAATTTCCATCAAGTAACGGCCGAGTCAATTAAAAAAAAAAACACTGATATATCCGGCATACAGAGTTCCGCTGCAATTTTTGCAAGACCTTCATTGACAGCGTTGACCTGCCTACATGAATGAAATAAATACCTACCGAGTATCAATCAATAATTATACAAAGTGTCTCATGAAGATTTTGTCAAAATCAAGATGACGTTCTGTATATCTCAGATGTGAATGCCGGTAAATATATAAACGAGGAGTAATTTGGAACTACCAAAGTATCCTCTATATATGCAAGTATATTGTTTGTACATTTGAATCTCAATTTGATCACGCTAGAAACTGCTGAAAATGTCAGTACCTTTGGTTATTTCTACTCTCATCAGCCGATTCTTTTCAGTACCTATCTTTCAATATTATATCAAATATTTTCTATGAGAAACGGTGATTGAAAATTAAAATCACTGAAAGTAGAATTTTCATAAATCTAAAATCTAATATTACGTATTGTTCTTTCTCAAGAAAAAATCTTTACCTTTGCAATTGTACCATAAGGTTGCCTATAGGGCTAATGTGCAAAGAACAAATTAGTTATAATCACATGAAAGGTGCATGGAAAATAATTAATATCATTTAAAAACTTGCAGTACAGCGAATGGAAAAAAATCACTTACTGTTTGTCCGAACGAATAGGTCGTTTTTCTAAACCTTCTGTTACCATTGCGTCCAGAACCAAAGACTGTATCAATGTTTTATCACCTGAAATCAATAATGGGAGTGAATAATGTGTGTAATATGTTTGTTATTTGAGCTTGTTTCCCATTAATTTCATTTATTTTGGTAGAACTAGCTTCAATGATGAAAAGCTTTCCAGTTCATCAATTCAGAAATAAAAAACAGAGTGTAGTATAACATAATAATATGTTCGATTTGGAAATGACAGCCATACGAAATCATCTCGGAATTCATCGATACTGGCCATGATGAGCCAGTAAACACACCTGTAATATTCACATACATATGCTGTCAGTTTCAAATAACGGATGTTCCATAATTTGATTACCTCCAATTGACGTCAATGTGTCATACATTATAGATACAAAACTTACATAATCTAATTTCCCTTGAATGTACTGCTAGATTCATTATATAACATTTTCGTAACTATGATTATGTTCTTACAATTTCTAAGAGCTAATATCAATTTTATATAAGTTCATTCACAACAAAAATTTATCTTCAACAAAAGGAATACAATTGCAGTATTTCTCGAGTTTTCACGAACGAACACGAACGATAGATAATCGAGCTGGACTCGCTCGAAGGTCGGAGGGGTGTTGTGTCAAGTTAGAAATAAGATGGCGTCAAAGTTATGTTTTGTTGTGTTATTGTTCCTTGACCAGCGAGTTGAGCTAGTGTCTTGAGAATTGAGCTAGGTATCTAAAATTCACAAATTTGATTGGAAACTGGAATACTTTTATTTGATGAGTTGAATAATATGTGCGATGCATGTTTTTCTACATAGAACAAGTAAACAAGGTCCGCAAGGTGGATGATGGTGGTCGTTCAATACATTCATCGGCAATTTAAGTTGAATATTGTTTCAACAGGTATCAGCCAAGTCACAATGTTGAAGAGATTTTGAGATATATAATTTATTTATTGTTTCAAGTCATTGTTTTGGATCACCAATATGAAATCCATAGGCAGCAGTGTGATATGCAGATCAAATAATCATTTCAGAAGATGCTCGGCAGAGCAACTATATATCAAAGCTTCCAATGGATGTAGATACATTTCTTGTCCATGGACATCCGAATCTCTTTCGGACCTGGAATGGACATCCATTGCCCCATTGGATGGCTTGTGTTATTAGAAAAGTAAATTTTCTTTAAGAAAAATTATGTTCAGTTTCCGAGAAATATATATTCCAAAGTGAGAAGATATTCAGCATCAAACTAATACTGCATTTATATCTGCCGATGAAATATATTTTTGTTTCTGGTGAATATGAAATATGTATTTGGATGAGAATTTTGAGGATCCTTGAAAGTTAAAGAATAATTTTTTCAGTGCGATCATTGTAGTTTCAGAATTTGATATTGTTATGATTCATGAGAACATTTTCTCAAGAATACATGTTATCCCTGACAGAATTCAGCATATATTTATTTCAAGACATGTTCATCTCTATGCGAGATTATTTCTATCACCAAGCCAATGATATGAGTATATTTCCAATTGAATATATATATTTGTTTCCGCTGGAAGATGGTATACGTCGATTGAAATAGTGAGAAATTTCCCAAACAATCACTAATATGCTTCAATTTTGCATATTCTTCAAAATATCAAACTCTCATAAGAACATATAAATGTATAATGTATCTTCAAATCAAAGTGATATCCAGTCGATTGTAGATAATATTTTCGAAATTTAATTTTATTTTGATTGGAGATAACTGTTTTTACCGTGTAAAAACTTACTCATGTTTCCCAATCGAATTTGGAACGCTTGTTCTTGTTTTTTGAATGAATATTGTTTTTTTTATTAGATATATGTAGAGGCTGTCCCGTTTTCGATGTCCTTACGGGTTATCTCACTCATATTTGAAGATAGAGATTTGCGATTTTTGCTAACATTGGCTACTTTTTTGTAATACGCAGGATACCGCAAACAAAATTTTGATAACCTTTCTTGTTTTTGAGATTCAGGGCAAAATTGAAAATATTGTATTTTAGGACCCGGGTATCTCAACTATCTTCCATTTTATAGAAAACGTAAAAACTATCTCTCAACAGTATTTAACGTAGAATTCAGTGGCGTAGTCAGATTTTCAAAATAGGCTGTCATTATCTAGATACAACCCAAAGTTATGTTTTTTTGAATGGAACATCCTGTATATTTCTTCATATTTGAGACATTGATCCTTTGCGCTTTTCAAAATTATATAACACTCATGCCATATTTTGAGTATTACCCTTGAATTTAGATAATTCACAATATTTTATATATTTCTTATTGATCCCCCTAATGATATGTGGCAATATTCACCATTATGAACTTTCATATCAACCTTGTTGCTGACACAGCACCAACATTCAATATTTACCATCAATATTCAGAAGCTGTCGACCCAATCAGTAGGTGGCTATGAGAAAAAAAGCGAGTGGAGAATGTTTTATAATTTATTTTGACATCTAACTACCTGTCGAAGTTCACAAATGTTTCATACAATGGCGAATTAAAATCCAGGATATCAAAACTATACAAACATTCAGAAACCAAGTCATATCCCAACCATATATCGTAGTTTTGATATTCTGGATTATTGTGACAAGAATTATAAAACATTCTCCACTCGCTCTTTCCATATGTTTACTGCTGCATTCAAAATATTTCTTAACTCAGACTTGCCTCATCGGACCCAAACATGATGACATATCTTTGCTGCATCTCAGTGATGATAACACATTGCTCTCCTAAGGACCATGCCAGAGACGTTTATGAAAAATTATTGATTGAACAATAATTCAAAAAATCTGTTGAACGTGGGGAAACACATCTTCAAATGAAGTTAAGGAACCATCACTACACTTTTCCTGTTCCACAACAAAATGGAGCGAATAATAAAAAAGGAGGTTAGATCAAAAGGCATTGTCGGCAATCACAATACACATGGGGCACAGGGCAAGAAACTTCACCATTACTGGATGTTACCGAAATTGTGGCAATAAATGGAATGGATGATAGATGACATAAAAACAAAGCAAAATGGAAGCAGACAATTTTGGTTAAGAAAAGAAATTTTGGAAGATATTGCTGAGCTTCAAAGTTTGCCTGAAACAGTTGTAAATCATTGATCAGAGATTAAAAGCCCAACTCAAGCTTTTGATTTCTGTAATAAGATTACAAGCACCGGAAGTATCAATGACTTTTGCATTAATAGTTAAAAGATGTTGTTTTCTGAGAGCGCACATTTTTTGAAAAATTTTCGAAACATTCTTTTTGTGATTTATCCTGTCAATATGTCTTATAGAATATCTCATTCAATTTATTGCCTGAATTTCAGAAACAGCCTGTATAACTTCCCCTCAATGGCAGTTCAAGATTTCATATAGGAAAAATTCCAATGACTGACTATTTCATGTTTCGAAGTCTTGAATGACATTAATCGTCATCTTTATAAAACATATGATGAAACGTTCCGTAACAACCCATAATTCCAATTTCATGGATGTTATGATGTTTCGCTTTGAATCTTGGTTTACGCATGTTTCCGCTGAGGATGTGGAAATTTTATCTCGTTGATAAAACATGTGATGGAACATTGTTCCGTAACAATTTTGAGTAGGTAGACAGTATTATAGATAGATAGTTCCAGAACGTTGTGTGTGATGGAAGAAAGTTCATTGATTGATCTCATTTGTGATGACGCCTGGCATGCCACAATTTTATCCCGTATGATGAAACACATTTTTGTAGCAATACAAGTAATATTCTAGATACAAGTTGCGTATGTTTCAGAGTGGTGTGATGGTAACAATGTTCTTCGACTGATCTTCCTTGTGGTAGAGTCAGAAAAGCGTGGTTTACCAGTGGGAAAATTGGTGTGATGGTAACAATGTTCTTCGACTGATCTTCCTTGTGGTAGAGTCAGAAAAGCGTGGTTTACCAGTGGGAAAAATGCAAAATTAAAGACAAAAACGAAGATATATTTCTATTTGTTATATCTCGTGCCAGTCGACCAGCTCCCAATAACTTTCGTCAAAACCCATTGGAAATTCTATATGCTACCTATTGTTAGCTGTATCTGTATGTATACATATTGATTTTTAACTTACAGTAATAAGCATCCTTGTCTTGTTTTGTCGACATGTGATGATGTTCTCGTTGCAGCGGTGATCTAGGCCTCAAGGACATCCATTTCCATCCTGGTCTGCGACTCCTGGAGAGGAAGTGCATGACTCTCTCTTCAGCTGTTTTGAACCACTGTTCACCAGATGAGCCACTTGTGTACTCACAATAAACCCTTTAAAACAAATTAAACAAATCAAATTATTCCGGCCCAAAAATGTCAGAATTCTCTTTTATATTGACCCTTCAGAAACTTTTGCAATTGCCAGCAACAATGGTATTGGATTGACATTTTCTGGATGATTATAAATTTCTTCCTTGGAGAAAGATTATTTGTTCCAATTTTAAGGCATCATGGAAATGAGCCAGTAAGGAAAGATTGATATAGCCTCACATGAAACTTGAATTACGTCATCTGTTGCTCGTCAGTTGGAACAAAGAAAAATTGTTCCTGGCAAAGAAATGTTATCAAGGTTGTGCATTGGACCAACTATAGGGGTCATTTCACTATAGATAGTTTTGATGCTATAGAGCAAAAGGAATTGTTGATGTCATCAGATCTCAGAAAGTCAGACTCAGAAAGAGATATATTTTTTTCCTCAAGACCATTGACTATATTGACCATATTTTCCATTGCTTAATATCTGCTAGCAATATTCAATTCTCGAAATGAAGATCTCTGCCAGCTTCTACATAGACAGCACATTATAGATATTCATTGGATAGCTCCATATACACTGAACACCGATATCCATGAAATATATATCTAATAGATATATACTTTGGACATAAATCATGGATATTCAATAGAAAACCAATATTGTATCATTATGCAGAAAATTATTGAATATCATGAATAAAATAATTTGGCTAGACATATTTCGATAGGAATTTTTGTTGGATTGAGATAACTGAATATTCATTGAATATCCAGTGGTGATTCAGTCAATATCTATTGGGTATGTGTATGAATTGGACGTCCAATGGAAGTTCATTAGTAGACGTCCAGTGGATGTTTACTAGTGGACGTTTGGATGAGTTTCTGATGAAATGCGTTTTTTGTGAGGAATATACATTTCCATTTGGGCAGAAAACGAAATTGTATAATCGAGATAATTGATCATAATATATATCAATAAATCAGTATTTTCATGTACATTATATGTACGTAGAGTGGATGTACAAATTTATAATGTCCACTGTACGTCCGTGTCTTGTACGAACAATGGATACGTCCTTACACCCATGCCCGTTTGGACTAAATATGGACGTAAAACGGACGTCCATTGGATGTCATGTGCTGTGTGTGAAAACATTCGGCACGGCGATCGGGAATATCGGATCGTATCGAGACACTCGTAAATGTCGAGGTGAGAGGTGAGACAGATAGATGAACAAGAACGAAGCCGACCAAAACTAGTAGACGTTATTCAGTAGGTATTAACTCATGTTTTCTGTTTCTTTGTTTTATTGGTATGGTACTGAGTCCAAGGATCGTAGAAGTGAGTTCTATCAATTACAATTCTATTTTGCGTGGTATACATATATACTTATTATTTTGGTGTGATGGGTGAAAAAAATAATATAAATAGCTATACCCATTTCATGATGAGAATACTGATGTGATGCACGAAGGGCAATATATTGTGTCGTGATAGTGATGGGCTGCTTGGTTCGGTTGGTTGGCTATAAAATGGTCAAAGATCTAAAGTAGTTGAGGTGACAGAGCTTGTACATGACGAGACCAACGATCTAATGAATAATGTATTACCGTATATTATACTTTCTGTGAGATCTCTGGATGAGACCTCTGATAGGTATATATATCTATATATCATATGTCCCTACAAAAACATAAACAGAGGGTTTTCCATTTGAAAAATGGACTCATAGAGTAACCCTGTATAACATCTGATCATTGCAAAAAATAGGCCTCATCGAGACCTCGAAAACTTTACAATTTTTTTTTTCTTGCAGAAAGAAGAATACAGAACCATATATCTGAAACTATTAAGGAATGAACTATAGTTAACAATGATTTCTCATTATATATATATTATTATGATTACATAAAAAAATCTTACTCCTACCTCCTTTTCCTATCATTCCTAGGTACACCTGATGTATTTCGAAATTATAGGGATACCCTTTCGTGCGCACACAGCGATGAAAAATATGCACAGTTTTTTGAATAAATATTTGTTCGCTACAGATTTCCATCATTCAATCCATCAATATCCTCTGATGAATTTGAATAGTTTCAAATCAACAAAAGTTCACATAGTTGATATGGTGTTGTTTTATTTTGGAAATTTCGGTGAGAAATAGTAGAGGTTTCCAAATATTCATATAGTATATATCCATAATATATCTGGAAGCTATTTCCATTGAATGTCTATAAGATATTCATACGATATCCACTGTATATCTTTATGAATATCCTGAATATAGGCATAGTGATAGGATGTCTAATGGATATCCCTGATGTATATATCAACTGGATATACTGGATATCCATAGAATGAATATTGTTTATTGCTGTCTGGGATCGAAGTATGTATGAAATAAGATTTGTCAGTAGTATATTTTCTAATAGAATGTGAGAAACGAATATTTTCTGACTATATTTCCAAGTCCTAGGTGATCCAGAGTTTTATTGTTATTATTTTCGTTATTTTTGAAGATTACGCAATAATAATATTGAGAGTAGGGATATGAATCTGAATAAGAAATTGATCGATGACAGCTATCTTCTAATCCATAATTCAATTTTCTCCAATAATAATTATGGAATTAGATAACAACTGTGATTTGTTTCAGTTGAATGTGTCACTATCTAACAATATTTACCAGTCTGGATGAACTCTCCAATTGTCACCCTTGAAATAGTCGCTAACTGTGAAGAATGCGACATTAATTAGGACCACATTTCAGGAGTTAATAGTTAACTACTCACCATTTTTCTGACTATGTTTTATTTCCTGTTCGGCCAATAATTCATACATGCCATACCCTTCAGGGATGGCAAGTCCCAGTGAAAATGGCGTTCCTTCGATAGGGTTATAAAAATATTTATTTCTTCTTGTTGTAACTCGTCTCTAAAAACACAAACAAAATATCACATGATCAATTCAGTTATAGGTGAATGAGTGAAGTTTTCGTACCATATTGTCATAATGCACTTTGACATTGAGCTCCATCTCGCCTTCTTTTTGAAATATCATGTCATGCCTTAGCTGCAATAAAAAATAGTTTCATATAAAATTTCAATCGAAATTGATTTACATTCAATTCAACTCACATCAAGAAGGAAAGTGTGATTTTCTCTAGGGCCATTATCGTTTTCAACTAATTCAACTTCTGTCAAATCGACCGAAGTATATTTTGGCTCAAGGGTATCTTCGTACAGATCATTGTTTTCCTGAAACATTGAAAAAACATTAGATTTCAATAGAAATTTATGAAAACGTTCTACTCACCACTGGCCTTAAGTCCGGGTGATATAAAACATGGCCATTGTTATTAACAATAAACGAATAGCCGTTCACGCCTAACTGGAATAGAATAAATGATGAATGAGCACTACATTTCAAAATCATCTTATATATATACAGGGTGTCGGATTGTCGAGCCAAAGCGCATGTGAATATCGACAAAAAAACACCTGAATTTTTTAATTTCTCATTTTATAATAACACTCAAAGTAGCCATTTCTGACCGAGATATGTTATAACAGTTCGGAACAAAGAATTCGATTTCATAAAGTAGCGATACAGTCAACCTTTTGTGTCTATCGATTTATAAAAATATCCAAATTAAAGATAAAACACAATTTGAATCAGCAAACTAGAAGAATGTTTAACGCTCTTTGAGAAGAATGTATTTGGACAGAAAAATGATTTTATACCTTTTTTTAAGACGTTTCAGATAAGATATACTCACAAGAAATCTTCCTGTAGTCAAAAATAATGATTCTTTGGTTATGCAAGCAATTTTATAACTTGAAAAATGATAGAGTTTTCAATTGCTATACGGACACTCATTTTGAATAGACCTTTGAATTTTATTTTTTCCGCCGCTAGATGGTCCAAAAGTTTTCTGAATGAATATTTTTCCTGCAATTCTCCCAAAGACTGCCCCTGTATGCGATTCTGATGTTTTTCCAGGTTCTGATGAAAAACTTGCATCGTTTCATGTTTTGGTTTAAGGATACTCGGAATATTTCGATGGCGTGGAACCACCCTTGTCACTGTTGAACATCAAGCAACTTTTTTCGAGAGTATTCATTCATTGGTTATTCTTGGCCATTGATTATTGTAGATGACTCAATTCAAAATCGTTTTCCTCTGCATATACATCATTCTCATACCTGTACCTGTAGCAGATTTTCTGGGAAAGTATTCATCAGCCACAAGTTCCAACTACGCCTTTTATTATATTACTAATATATACTCGTGGTTGGCCATGAAATTCCTAAAACCTCCAAAATCTGTAAGTGAATGAGACTATTTTTCATTTATCAATTCCTCTGAGGGTCCCTCATATTCTGTATATCTGACAATATCTTTTCGGACAAGAATCAACCTCACAGGCCTTCTTTCCAGATATTTCGAAAAAAAAAGCATTACTTTTCCAAAATACACGTGAATGGGAGTTTTTTTCTTCTGAAAATGGGTTCCTCTGATGGTACCTCCCATCATGAATATCTCACAAAATTTTATCGGACAAGAATCAACCCCACAGGCCAACTTTTTTTTTTTGAATTTCGAAAAACAAAATCATTACTTCTTCAAAATTCACGTGGATGGGAGTTTTTCTTTATAAATGTGTTCCTTTGATGATACTTGATTATGTGTATATCTGACAATGTCTTGTCGGGCGATAATTAACCCCACAGACCCCCTCTTTTGGACTTTCGTAAAAAAATTTAACTTTTCCAAATTACACGTGGATAGGAGTTTTTTCATAGATGAAAACCCAAAGTCATCTCCACAACTTTTATTGAAATGATCAAAGATCATGAATGGTACATGTTTCGGGCTTATATAAGCCCATCATCAGCCGATAAAATATTTCAAAGTTATGGAAGTGAAAAAAGTTGGAATTCAAGTAACGTGGACAATAACAGAGTAAACAAAGGCAACTGCTCCATGATTGTTAATGTAAAATTATTACGATGAAGGCATTCCTTGTTGAACCAAATATCCAACATTGTAGTTTTTCTTTGGAGGAGGAGGCGCTTGTAGAACTGGACCCATCAAGTTGCCCGACTGGCATAAGCCCGAAACATGTACCATTGATGATCTTTGATCATTTCAATAAAAGTTGTGGAGATGACTTGGGTTTTCATCTATGAACTACACCACTCCACTTTGAGTTACCATGGACTTCTTCCAAAGATTAGGAGTTTTTTCCTTGAATTTGTTTCTCTGATAGTATACTCGATGATGTGCGTATCTCACAATATTTTGTTGGGCAAGAATCAACCCCACAGGTCCCCTGTTTTGAAATGACGAAAAAATAATCATAACCATCTCAAAATACACGTGGATGGGATTTTTTTCCATGAAAATTTTCCTCTGATTGTACTTCAGGATGTGTATATCTAACAATAACACGTGTATTTGGAAAAAGCTATGACTTTTCTTTCGAAATTTAAAAAAGGAGGCCTTGGGGTTAATTCTGGCATGACAAAATATTGTCAGATATACACATTATCGAGTACCATCAGAGGAACACATTTTCGAAGAAAACTCCCATCCATATGTGTATTTTAGAAAAGTTGTGATTTTGACATGCCCATAAGCACTATAAGTGTGTTATTATTACTCAAAGACAAAAAAAAATATTCTCACATTCTAATTATATATGAGAATTTACTTCCATAGTAGGACTGTACTATATGAAATATACACAATAAATAATAAGGTGTATCGAATATAATTGAATTGATCGCGTTTTATGACGTTGCACGCTTTCCCGCGTTTTTCATGTAGCAACAATTTTGCACATAGGTGAAATTTTTTTTTATCTCTTGAAGCGCACGGAAGGATGTTCTAAGAACATCGTGCGTACCTAGAGAGGATAGGGAGAGGAGGTAAGTGTTGGATTTTTTTAAGTTTTGGAGGTTATAAGTTCTTGGGAATAGTTTCATTGGCAAAGAATTTCAAATCTTTGCTGTTCTATAGACGAACGAGTTTTGGTAAATTGTTGTTCGACATATTGGAATGATGATGGCAGAAATTTCTGAGGAATATTTCCCGTGGAAGGATCTATAGAAAAGTAAAAGGTCGCCGACTTTTCTACGGTGTTCTAATGAAGTCACAGTATTAGTGAATCCTGCATCACCCACCAGGCGAATGGCTCTTCTCTAGATGGAATCTATAAGATCATCAGCATATGTGTGGGTGCTGAACAATTTTTTTAGGCCAAGCTATACGACATTATCATAAAACTTCCGAGATACTGGTAGTTATAGATGATAACATGCCTTTCAAAATGAGTTCCTGCCAAAATCGCTACTAATACCAACACGTAACATAAATAATATATGATTACACATTTCAATGAAACTGTCTTCGATGATAAAAAATTCTGGAAAGTTTTATGGTTGATTTTTGACAGTGAGGAGGATGATAGTTTGCAATCTTGGAATATTCCGAGTATCCCGAAACCACATGAATCGAGAGGTCCATTATAACTCATGAATAATTATCGAAACTGCATTGAAGTTCTTGAGAACAACTAGTTTTTTTCTGGTGAAATCGAAATATCAGTGAGATTTCTGCAATATCAGTCTATTTTGAGTTTTGGAATTCACATTTGCTTATTCTTTGTTGAATCAGGACACTGCACATTAGAGAGTTGATGTATTTGAAGGTCCATTTGGTGTACCGTATGTACATACATTATTGTCATAAAAAATATATAGTTTTACACTAACCTTATAGGGTGGAACCAATTTTCTTATTTGATCAATCGCCACATCTGTTCCAACAACACCCAAAACATTCGCAACTCGTACCTGAGAAGAAAATGATAATATTGTTCGACTGTACTGATGACTATTGTGGACACTTGAAAAACTCACTGAATGATTTCGACGATCGAACACTGGGGTGGTGACAGTTGTCATTAGTTGGCCGTGTTGATCATCAGAGAAACTGTCGGCCTTGAATTGAAAATAACGATTACAATAAATATTTTGAAATATATTCGAATGACACTTACTCTGCCGCCGACGTAGGCTGGAGTCCATTGTATTGGATGATCGTTTTGATACATGACCATTGGTCTGGCCATTACTTCGATGTAGTGCAACACGCTTTCTTTTATTTGGCCATAATCTTGGATTCGAGTATAGTATCCTAAAAAACATTTTAATGACATGTTTGCTTGGCATTTTATTTAAGGTGGTGGAAGAACAGAAGCTTTCGAACCTCCAAAGGTAACGATGAATGAGTATGTAACAACGTTCACTAGACGAGATGCAGGTGACTCAATGGAGTTCTCATAGAGCACCTGACTGATGATGATGTCCGAAGAGAAAAGGAAGTGAGACAGCTAGAACACAGGGCGAACGAATCGCTCAGATGCCTTACCAGGAATCTTGCTGATAAGCGGCTGGACCTCACACACCAGAGTAGACGGAAGATGGAAAGGCTTATTCCTCGGAATAATTCTGGACGACGTCGGAAGCATTGACTGACACATGGAATACGTTACAAAAAAGGCGGAGGTTAGGGTGGGGAAACCTACCAGGATGATAATGAATATAGGGAGACCTATCAGTGGGAAACGATCGCTTCTTAGTGGAGTTGTCCGCTCTATCGTGATCAACAGGGCGCCGATATGGGCGCAGGCAATGTGAAAGCAGAGGCATCCACAGTAGTTAGAAAGAGTACAGAGGAGGGGGCTACTGAGGGTAGCCTTCCAACCGACCAACATCGTTGAGGAAAATCCAGAAGGTAACCGGAACCATATTAGATGAACATACATCTACTTGACCTGGAGCGGAACAGAATGTACCAGAGGAAGGAAGGCAGAGCAACTAAAGATAATGAGAGAGAAGAGTCCTTGAGGGCATTGCAGGGACAGTGACAGAACAACGAGGCGACAGCATAGTGGGCGAAGTGTTTAATACCAAACGTGGTGCCGTACTACAAATGTAACCGACAACTGGACTACTACTTGACGAAATTCTCAACGGACCAAGGATGTTCCATGGCATACACGAGGAGGATTAGTAAATCGGAGTCGGATACCTGTATCGACGCACACACTCTTTCAGATTGTGGAAGGTAGGGAGGCATTAGACATATAGGGCATTTGCGCTATTGGAAGAATTTCCAAACGCGACTAGGTTAGTAGACCTGATGCTGCAGAGCAATGCAAATTGAGATGCAGTAAGGATATTGGCCAGGGAGATTCTGACGAAGAAATGAGCAAACAAGAGAGAAAAGCAGAGATGTATGATCCAGGCAAGGCAGGGTGATTGAATAAGACTGCTCATGTCTGTGGAGAATGTTGAGAAACGATGCCTCGGAGGTGAGGCAATTAAAAGGCGAAAATTAAGCCAGTAGGGGTCCGGCACTGATGACTTCTAAAGTCCGAGGTCTGAAGTCAATAACGGAATTCTCAACAGGGCATCTTAGACTCAACGGACACTCAAGGAAGCTAGGCTTACACAGGAGAACAGCACCTGCAGATTCTGCGAGAAAAAACCAAACACCCCTGGAATGAGATACTGTTACATCATGTCGTGTGACATTGTGGGGCATTGTCACCATCCATCGTCCATCAGTCCAGTTGCAATCCCATGCTATATTTCATATAACTTTATATGATTTTAGCCTGACAGAGATTGTTTGTGTCCATCACCATACTTTGTATTGGAAGCCCGGCTTGCTCTGACTCCCATGTTGGTCCTCCTGGTCTCTACAGTTTCACTGTTACACCGAGTTAAATAAATGAAATAAAATGAAATATTCATTGATCCTTAGAACTTTCGGTAACAATAGATAGGATATACGTCAATGTTACATGTCATAAAAGAAAGAACAATCATCGTCCACCAATATGGCAATATGAACAGTGTAATTGAGGAATTGGCAAATAAGACGAAACGAAATGGTGAGACAAGATGAAACAATTACAGTGATTAACATAAATATATTCGATCCTCCCATGTTGAGTTACAATCTATAAGCGTTCCTAAGAACTTAGATGAAGTGGAGGTTTTAACGGTAGGTATTATTTTCGATTTCGAAGGTGATAGGTATTAGAAGATATTTTATATTTTGTGTGAAACTCGATTATTACTGTTTTACCATGATTTATTCTAAGTGTATTTTGAATGCGGTAATCCTCAAAATTTTTCAGAACCGAGTCTGCTTTATGCTGAAGTCTATGGCGATCAGGATCAGAAACTACAATAGAGGTGTCATCAGCATACATAAAGACTCTACCATTTTTTATGTGATGAGGCAAGTCATTGAGATAGGTTAGGAAGATCTAAACTATCCTTGACTGGCCCTGCATATCCCCCCCCATCATTGTTCTCGTCTTTTGTCACCAATTTTCAACTCACCTTTATGTGCACAGGCCATCCAATGCATCTCGTTGGCACCGCTAGAATCTTTTCCAATGAGGTAGGTGAATACTCTCACCGGAGCATGAGGAAAATTGTACATTTTGAAAATTTCCTTGTACGTGGCGGGTGGACCGTCCGTTATCAGCATGATCGCTTGATTACATTGGCAACCTTGTCCGGACCGATTATACTAAAAATTATAGTTGCTTACTTACGGTTTCAATGAGCTTATTTTCTACAAGTGAAATTTCACAGATTATATTATTTCTCAAAATGAACGAAACCGCACCCGACTATGTGAAATGATGAAGAAAATAATCATCAATGTTGAATTCGGTGCATATTACAGTTCATTTTACAGCAATAAAGACATATCATTTCGTAACTAGAAAATGTGAACACTAATGTGTAACCAATATACAGAATATAATTTGGAAACTTTCCTATCACTTTTGACACCTGTGGTCAATTAAAATATTCAACTGTTGCATGAGTGCTAGGACTGCTAGGCCCCTTAAGACAGCAGAAAGAATATTTATCTCCTTAACATATCTCAGAATATGGCTAATTCACTGTTTTATCACACGAAGTACACCAACTGTTCTCTGCAAGTATTCAGTAGTTTATGAATAATATTATAATGTTTTAAATTTAGCTTATACTATGGGAATGCTCGACTCATTTCGTGCTTATTGTATGCTATCGATAATTTTTGATTTCGTTTCCAAATTTCCTGGAAGTTTATTGATTTTCCTAAATCACCAAATCAACTGATTGAATGAATGAACGTACCGGGTGATTTTTCAAGGTGGCTCGCCCCTATAACTCTTTCATTCTTGACGATGAAAAAACGAAATCTGGGTGTTGTCTATGATAGTTGAATTCACAAGTTTTGACATATTTGCTTGCTTTGACGTACTTCTGGTTTGACCGGAAATGAGCCCAACATTCAATTATTAAATGAGTCACCCTGCATATTTTTACTTATTTCGATCGAGAATGCCATTCTAAATCCAACTTCACCTCACTTGTCAATATTCTACAAATTGAGTCATGGATCGTGTAAATCGTTTCACTCTTAATCAAATAGCATGGGAAAAATATGACTCTCGGGCTTATGACTTCACAGTCGTTTCAAGAATCATTTATATAAAAGCCACAGATATAAATTATTCCAGTTAACTTGATTTTTTTTCAAATGGAAAGGGGGTGGCTCGTCGACTTTTTGTGAAAGATCATTTTCAAACGAATATAAATTGATACCACACACTTTCAATTTATTTTCCCAATTTTCCTGAATAATTGCAGAAAGCAATCATATCTACTAACAAATAATACGTACCTATTCGTTATACGTATGCACTGAGTCCTGATATCCTGATGGATATCCATGACAAACAGTTGAAGCTGTTGTAAGGAATGACAGTCTGAATCCAACAATACTCCACTTGTCAATATTTTACAATAATTTTAATTTCAATTTCAATCTTTCGATCTAGAATAGTAAAAATAAAGGGAGTGTGTGGTATCGAATTATTCTTGAAAAAAATATCATCCACAAAAAGTCGACGAGCCAACTCCTTTCCATTTGAAAAATGTTTTGACATATTTGCTTGTTTTGACGTACTTCCGGTTTGACCGTAGATGAGTTCAACTTCCAATTCAAGAATGGAATACCCTGTATATTTTCACTTATTCCGATCGAGAATAACATTCTAAATTCAACAATACCTCACTTGTCAATATTTGACAAATGAAGTGATTTTCATTTCAATTTTCATTCTTCGATCTAGAATGCATGTAACGTGTAAATCGCTTCACTCTCGATCGAATAACATCGACAAATAATACTTTTTAGGGCTTATGACTTCACAGTCGTTTCAAGAATCATTCATATAAAAGCCGCAAATATGAATTGTTCCAGTCAACTTGTTTTTTTCAAATGGAAAGGGGGTGGCTCGTCGGCTTTTTGTGAAAGATCATGTTCAAACAAATTTAATTTGACAAACATCATTTTCCCTATTTTTCTGAATGATTGCAAAACGCAATCATATTTACTAACAAAAAACACGTATTTCTTATACTTATGCACTGAGCCCTGTTATCCTGATGGTTATCCATGACAAACAATTGGAGCTGTTGCTAGGAATGACATTTTGAATCCAACAATACTTCACTTGTCAATATTTGACAAATACAGAAATTATTATTCCATTTCTAATCTTCCGATAAATAAAGAGAAAAGTGTGTGGTATCAAACTATTCGTAAGAAAATATGATCTACCACAAAATCCAACGAGACACCCCCTTTCCATTTGGAAAAATCAAGTCAACTGGAAAAAATAATATTTGCGGCTTTTATAAATGATTCTTGAAAGACTGTGAAGTCATAAGCCCGAAAGTCATATTTTTCCCATGCTATTTGATCAAGACTGAACCGATTTACACGATCCATGACTCAATTTGTGGAATATTGACAAGTGAGGGGGAGTTGGATTTAGAATGTCATTCACGATCGAAATGATGTGAAAATATACAGGGTGTCCCATTTGGAAATCGGAAGTTGGGTTCATTTCCGGTCAAACCGGAAATGAGGCACAGCAAATGAATAAGGCAAAAAATCTAAATTGAACTATAATATACAACCTCCAAATTTCATTCTTCCATCTTCGATAATAAAAAAGTTATAGGAATTTGTGGAATATTGACAAGTGAGGGGGAGTTGGATTTAGAATGTCATTCTCGATCGAAATGATGTGAAAATATACAGGGTGTCCCATTTGAAAATCGGAAGTTGGGTTCATTTCCGGTCAAACCGGAAATGAGGCACAGCAAATGAATAAGGCAAAAAATCTAAATTGAACTATAATATACAACCTCCAAATTTCATTCTTCCATCTTCGATAATAAAAAAGTTATAGGAGTTAGCCACATTGAAAAATCACCCGGTACTATACATATTATGATTACAATGGTATTTTTCAATGAATATATAGGGTGTTTCTGCAACTGGAGAATCAAGTGGGTGAGAGAAAAAAAAATCAAAATGGAATGAAATAATATATATTTTGGTCCGTAGAAAGATATGGTATACCTATAGTGAGTAAGAGCATACATTCCTTTTGATAATTTTTTTCACATGTCAAAATCTGACATTCTGATGTAGGTATTCAATCAATGACAATGTGTGATTCTAACGAGCCATTTGGTATTATACTGACTATGCCCCTCTTTTTCTCGACAAGCAATCAGAATCGACCATTTTCAGGTTGTCTCTTCTAATACAGCGATATTTGTATTTACTCACTTAAGATTATCGCAGACTTGTTCCACGAATGCAGATGCCGAGTTGACTCGATCACACATACGTGAATAACAAATCTCGTTTTTCAGCGGTGAAACTTCTGAAGTTCAACATCAGTTACGATTAGTATTCACGTTTGACGGCCGGATTCCTATAATCTTTTATTGTCTGATTTAATCATGAAATAGTCATACGAATATAACAGGCATCAAGCTGTCGAAACGATCGCCAAATATTTCCGGCATGATATACCCAACAAACATTCATTTGCGGGAAAATGAATGCCCATTACATTGCTCCCATAACTAGATATTGCGGCAAAATAACTAGCTTTGGTACGGGGCCATCAAGAAAAGGACACTCCGGGCGACGGTTTCCCGATGGTCAATCAGCCGGCATTCATCCATTGATGGGCTTTTAAACCCTCATACTGGCATAGGAACGATCAGAATATAAAAATAATAATGGATGGTAAGATTGTGATAAGATAAGTCAATCAGACGATACCTATTTGCTCCACTGGCAAAGTGACTACAAGAATATGTGCAAGGCCAACAGATTTTTGCCGTTGAAGTCATTTCCCCAACAAAGAAAGCACAAGGCCAATAACTTCCCGGTAGTTCATTGTTTGTTGGGTAGTATCACTTGTAGTACATATGACTACTCCACTCTTGTTCTCGAGAACCAATATCAAAATCAACCATTTTCACGAATTATTAATCGAACATTTTCATGTATTCTCCTGTATTTTAGCTCTACCAATACAGAAGCCGAGTTGACCCACAGGTGACCAACCAACCTCGTTTTTAGTCGATAAAATTTTTGACGTTTACAACGTCAATTATGTTGGAAGCCAGAATGTTGAATGCAATGTGAGGCGCACGTTTATTGTCTCAATCATGAAATATTGATACAAATACAACTCGTGATACATAAATTGTAACACAACGGAGAAAATCTGGAGGGAACGTTTTCGAAGGGCCACCCGTTATATATCATGTCCTTCTGACGAGTAGCGCTTCACTTATTAAAAATAAATATATCGAAAATTTGTCTCTGAGAAGTTCACGTACTATTTATTTATGACGAATGATCAGTGCACTAATTTCAAATAAAATAGTATGCTTATAGCTAGTGTATCAAGTGACCATGTGTAGCAGCTTTTCACTTGCCACTATTAACAATTTATTTACCCCTGGTCAACTTTTTCTTGGTGTGAAAATTGATAATATAAACTGAAATATCGTTATCACTTACTTTTTGGAGGATTTCGAATGCTGTTATGAAGGCTGAGGTGAAATTAGCAATATTCTCTGGTTTCAGTGACCCCATCGAATCTTTCAGGTATCTTATATTTTCACTGTTCGCCTGGAGAATAGAAAAAAGTATGGTAAATACATTATAGATGGGTCACTTAGTCCCGTAGGGTATTATACAGGGTGAGTCAGTTCTTTTCTTTATATAACAGCTCAAAGAAGATATTTTTCAATACATGAAAATCTCATGCATGTTAACGAGTATGCGTAGTAGCACTGTTTTCGATATATACAGGCGGTGTGACATTTTTGTTTTTTCATGTGTTCATCGAGTTTTGCCACTGGGTTTCATCAACACACCTTATGAATAAAGCTTTCAATCAGTCCAGATCTTCTAATAAATTATAAAGATTATCATGTCAAATAGAGTAAGTATGTATTCGAAGAATAAAGTTTTATTGCAAGTAAATTATTTTTGGAATTTATCTCGAAATTCATACAGTTTTCGGAAAACATAAAGGAGCAGGAAATATCCAAATAAAAACACTCAATATCCTTGAATATAAAGTTCTTGAAGTGTCATAGGTTCACCAAATTCCAATTGATTATTTTGAAAATTGTTGGATGATAAAAAAAAAATCTCAAATTCTGTATTGGAAACAAAGTTTCCAAGCATACATATTCACATGAAATTTTCATCTAAGAAATTTTTGTTCTAAAATATTCAATATTTTCACAGAACAAATTGATCCACTCATTTAGACGAGTTCTTTGTTCAACTTATTTAGACCCTGTCTGAAGTGACTAAGGGACATACTCTATTCCCGAATGTCCATAATATTGAATAGTGATAAAGTGTTTCATACTCCAGACACTTCTGCCATAACTTGGAATCTCACATTTCACCAAATTATCCTACGCTATTGGATTGTGCAGAAAAAAGTGCATCGCTGATGTTGAAGTATTTCTCTCCTAACTTGACAAAAAACCAAGATCTTCACATAATGTATCGAGGATGAAGAATCGAATTTCTCTTTTACAACTCGAAAACAAAAGCTGATACCCTATTTTCGATTCCGCTAGTCAATTCGTCTAAAAAAAAGAGATCGATAATGTCACTTAAATTTTTTTTATATCTCCTGTAATTGCACAATTACTCTAAGGAAACATCGAAATTTGCCCACCCTGAAAAGTGTGAGTAACTTTCCATCCAATTTTTGACCTAATCTCTTCGAATTGAAGGAAACATTTTAATGGGCCTAAAATGGTTCATTGCGGGCTACAATACAAGGCGGTCCATTCAATGAACATTGTCATTAGATTCCAATTGGCACAATCAATCTATATTTCTTCCGATGAAAACAACCTGTGTGACTCTGTACAATGTGAGTAACTTTCCATCCAATTTTTGACCTAACCTCTTCGAATTGAAGAAAACATTTTGTATGGGCCTAAAATGGTTCATTGCGGGCTACAATACAAAGCGTTCCATTCAAGAAACATTGTTATTATATTCCAATTGGCACAATCAATCTATATTTCTTTCAATGAAAACAACCTGTATTCTTTATGTCCGTAATGTGCAGAGAGCCCTCCAAGAATACAATATACTGTAATTGATACCAGAGTGGATTCAAACAAAGATATTTCACTCTCAAAATATCAATTGGATTCAAACAAAGATATTTCACTCTCAAAATATCAATTTATCAGTTATATTCGTTTTTTATGTCATTGATATACTAGGTGTCCCTTTTTCGAGCTCCACCATGGGGATCTCAGTTATTATAAGAGATACGAGGTCGGTTAAATTAAGACAAAGTTGCGCATTTTCATGCTGTACATGTATCTACAAGAAAATTTGATGTGTCAGCGTTAGTCTTTGAATTATTGGAAGAAAACCAGAATTTATAATTTTCGTTTTTATTTTTTCAAGCGGAAACCAAGAGACCTAGAAGTTTCTGACTGCGCCATTCTTTAGGCACTTTTTTACAAGGAATCTGAATTTGTCATTGTATTTTCCATAAAGTTCTTGTTGCCAAAGTTACAACACACAACTTTGTTTTTTCATATAGGCGCCATATCGGATTCTTTTGATGACAAGAATGTATCACTCGATGTGATTGAATCTTCCCTGTTGATCAAAATTCAGAAACAATTTTTGCGAAGAAGAACACAATTCTACGCGTTTCCTCCGATTCTGAATTGCTCGCGAGATGTCCCGTCGTCTTAGTCCTGAAATTGATGATTATTGTTCTTTCCAGCTCATCAATATCGATTGGCACAGTTTTGAAAATCAAATCTTTCATAGTTCCCAATAAATAACAATCCTGTGGAGAGAGATCAGGTGACCGCGCTGGCCAATAACGTATGTCTCCGTTGTTGGAAATTACCTCGCCAGGGATCATACCTGACAGACACTCGACAATCGTGCTTGCGTTATGTAAATTAACTTGAGAATTCAACAGTTCTGTTCGCATATTCAATTGAATTGTCAAAATTCACTTTGTCAAACAAAACCGTTGGCGTTCCTTCCAAAGCACTTCGCAAAAATGGTCTTTTCCCAATTTTGATCAACCGGAAAGAATAGATCATATCGTGTGATACAGCATTGTAATCAGAAATGAAAGACTTTTCAAAAATGCAGAAAATCCAATATGGTGCCCATGAAAAAAAAACAAAGTTGAGTGTTGTAACTTTGGCATCAAGAACGTTATGGAAAATACGATGATAGATTCAGATTCCTTGTAAAAAAGTGCCTTGATAATGTCCTAGTCAGAAACGTCTAGGTCTTTTGGTTTTCGCTTGAAAAGATAAAAACGAAAACTACAAATTTTCGTTTTTTTCAAATAATTCAAAAACTGAAAATGGAACATCGAGTTTTCTTGCACATAAATGTTCAACATGAAAATACACAACTTTGCCCTCATTTTACCGACCTCGTATCTCTTATAATAACTGAGATCCCCATGGTGAAGTTCGAGAAACGGGCACCCTGTATAGGGATACTTCACTTCCTCGAATTTTCTGTGCTTATCAAGTAGGTATAGTTTATCCAAAGTCAGTTGGAGCATATTTTTGTCACTTGTACAAAGAATTGATGTTAATCATACAGGGCGTGGAAAAAATTATGAATTGAAAAAACCCAGGGTATAACATGAAGATATAGTCATGTTGTAGCTATCTAGTGGCAAAGCTCTAAGGTAGGATCCAGAAATCGCGACACACACTGTGTGGCGCTGCCATCTATAGTCACACGTACAGACCCTTACGTCTATACGCTACAGAGTGGTACTACAAGTAATCCACTCTGCTGACAGATGGCACTACCTGACACACTTGAGTGGATATTTCCACCACCTATTCAACTGCTAGATCTCATAACTAAGAGATCCAGGATGAAGGGAGTTGCCCCTATTGTCAGCAGGAGCGAGACAGTACTGTTTCGACCCACCAGGTCTCATCAGCCGCTCTCGGTCTGCTGCGTCTTCGAAATGGGTGATATACCCGAAGCGTAGAGTTATCCCAGTTGTCATCAGACCGAGAGCGGCTATTGGTTGGAAAATTCGAAAGATTTATAGAAAATAATCGAAAAAAATGCGATTAGAAAAAATTCGAAACCATTTTGGGATCACATAGTGAACTCCACATTCACACAATTTGAAAATAATCAAAGCTTAGTGAAAATCTCTTTGTACATTGACATATATACTACAGATAGATACACCAAAAGCACACAGTTTGAGGGAAAAAACGTATTTCGATACCAAGAGTTACTTTTCGAAAAATAACGAATCCATTTCGAGAAAACTCATCAGCAATGGAGTGATCGTACTATTTATGTTATGTTCCATTCCTTCTCATTTCATATTTTTATTTGTATTCACTCGATTAATCTATATATTTTTGATATCCATAATGCTTCCACCCTGTAAATGGATTTCCGTTGGGTGGTGTACATTGTGTAATAAAAAAAAATTGTTGAATAACTATATTTCCCCAAACGGAAGACCTTTTGAATTGAGGCAATTTGGCACACTTCTATTGATAACGCTGTGATGTGATAACTCAGTTACAAGGATTTTGGGAAATTTAAAATGATCCTACCTCGATACCCAACGTATAACTAACCTTTCAGGAACTGAAAACGGAATTGAAATTGTGTCCTTCGGAAGTTATACAGTTTTAATTATTGTTACTTAACCAGAGCCGAGTCACCAACGGATATTAACCGAATTTTTGCATTAGGTCTAGCCGATATTATAATAGGTACTTACTCAAAAAATGAATAAAAACATGAATGTATGACATTCTTTTATGAGATGAAAATCTGCTTTCTTTTGATTGTCAACTAGTTACTAGTGCATGATTAGTATTCTGGATAATTTGAATGACAACATTCGTGTGCGACAATTTCCAAACAACTGGATTTGGCAACGTATTGGTCGAGTTTGGCCGACTTTCGAAAAGTTGGCGTAGCAATATTAATAACTGATGTCATTGAGATCGATATCGAATCAGGGCATAGTTTTTAACAACTTTGAATAGAGCTCTTGGCTCTTGATTTGCAACAAAAGTTCTGTAACAACCCTAAGCAATAATTGAATGTGAAAAATACCTACCAGCTCAGTGACCTATTGAAAACCGCAGAACATTTTAAGATCCTAATGGAATGTTTTCTTCAAATCGAGAACTGCAAGGTCATACAGTAGGTGACAACAGTGGTTATCGTACCTCACACTGTACAAAAGAGTTAGAAACACAGGCACAGATTACCCCTCTTCCCCCCAATGTCAGGGACTTACTATTGATGTTTATAATTAGTGCTCTTGATCTGCAAATTTTTTACCTGAGCAAGCTGGTCTCTGAAACAGGACACGGTCTCCTCCGTTTTGTCCGAAAACTTGTAAATGTTCACAAAATCGTTATCGGACAATGTGTCCAAAATTGCTTCGACTGTGACCCGGGCCAAAGCTGCCCTGTGTCCCGTCATGGAACCTGAGTTGTCCACTAGGATTACTAAGTCTTTAGGGGATGTCGCAGCGTTCACGTACCAAGATGATGAACGGAAATCGTATATATTTCTGCTGCTTCTTGGCCTTTGCCATACGGTAGACATGTCTTCAGGAGGCCAGGCCATACCTTCGGAAAATTTCAAATATCAAACGGATATTCAACATTCGTTCAGGAAGTGGTGACTTTCAGTAAAAATATTTAGATCATCAACATATACCTTCCACTTTCTAAGGCTATAAGATCTTATAATAACTTCTGAAAGATAAAGCTTATAGGAAATTCCATGAGGGGTAACCCGTTTTTGGGAACATTATTCAATATGGAAGTGTCTTACTGGATGCGATTAAAATACTGGTCTGGAGTCAAAAAGAGTTCAGCCTGCTGAAAACTACTTACTCTGAGTGGAGTGAGTATAATAATTCAAGGTAAAGATGAAAAGAATGTCGTTTCAACAACGTTTGTTAAATATCGACTGAAGAAAGTTATTATGGAACCTGTTTCAGTCACTTAGTTCTATCATCAGCCATATAAAATAGTGGTTCTTCAAGAGAAATAGACATAATAAGGTAAGAAGTTGGAGATTGAAGAATAAACAATATCTAAAAAGTGTTCGCAACGGTACTTGCCGTATCCCAGATAACATTCCATTTTATGTCTATATGTTTGTTCCGAATTTCCAGGACTTTTCAGGACGTCCATTATTGGACATACTCGGGAAGTCTAGAAATAGACGTCCTTGAAGTGTCCGGTAGACAGAGTACTTTCGTAAAGTACTGAATAAATAAATGTATAGCCAAAGTCTCTGTTTATGTTCGGTGGTCAAACCATCCATTTCTGAGGATTGGTCTGAAACAGGTCGATTTTTCATTCTCAATTCGTCACATTTATGAGGAAAAATCAAATATTCAGGGTTATCCAAGTTTGAGTTATGACGCCCGAGACAATGTTTTCGAATGGAACACCCTATATATTATAAAATTTCTGCCACTTCACAAATATTATTCAATTTTTGAACCCTCCATATGGAGCCTGATTCAAAAATATATCACTGATAGGGTTTGTATTCAGTGCGTCCGTTAAATTCAATGCTCTAGTATTATGGGGTTGATGCCATTAAAAAAATACCGATGACGAAATGTCTCTTACACGAATCATTCTGTATGTATCAAATGAATTTGAAAGAACACCTGAAAGAAAATAAAATCCGACGACTTCGAGCGTTCTGTCCAATAATAATAATTCCTTTAATTTTTGATGAATTTATCCACTACTTTACGAGAGCACTTGATTCAACGGACGCACTGTATACAATATTTTTGTGTAATATATTTCTGAATTCAGGTTTCCATAAAGATTCCGAGAATTTAATAATATATAAGGTGTTCATTCGAAAACATTGTCGCGGGCGTTAAAACTGAAACGTGGATCTCCCTGTATATTTGATTTTTCCTTATAAATGTGATAAAGTGAAAATGAAAAATTTACCTGTTGATTGACCTAGGAGATTTTTCATAAATGGATAGTTGGCTGAAATTGCATTTCTCCAGTAGGTACTTTACGAGATATCTCAATTTAACGGACGCACTATATATTTTTGAGTTCAGTAATGGAATGGAATCTCCATGGAAAGAGATTTAAAAAATTGGATAATATGTTCCATTCGTTCCAGGGTTTACAGTAAAAATTATGAATGTGGCAGAATTGAGGATAAAAATCGACCTGCTTCATGAGATTCGGCAGAAATGGATAGTTTGGCTGAAACTGAATTGAGTACTTTACGAAATCTCTGTATATGTACACATTGTGTGAGTAAAGTATGGAATACATTCAAGTTTAGCCTAACTATCTATTTCAGAGGAATCAACTGAAACAGTTCGATTTTCAATTTCAATTTGCCTCATTAATATGGGAAAACTAAATATACAGGGTGATCCACGTTTGAGTAATGACTCCGCGACGATTCTTTCAATAGAAAATTCCAGAGATAGTTTATATACAGTGCGTCCGTTGAATTCAGTGCTATCATAAAGTAGTGAATTCATATAGAAATTAAAGATATAATTTCTGGAGAAAACAGTCAACGTCGAATTTAACATTTGTTGGGGCATTTTTTCAAATTCGATTAATATATTCAGAATGATTCGAGTAGGAGAAATTATATCATCGGTATTTTTTCATTGACAACCCCATTTTGCATGAGTACTGAATTTAACGGACGCACTGTATAGAAACCCTATTTATAATACATTTCTGAATTCAGCTTCCAATGGAGTTTAAAATGATCCTGAACGTTGTGCACTGGCTGAACATGTTAATCAATATGACCATCAAATGGATTTCCAGTCAGCAAAAATTCTGGCAACTGAACAAAATTCCAAAAAACGAACTTTTCTTGAAATGGCTTTCATCTCCCAGGAAAACAACTGCATAAATAAAAGAACTGACATAAATCATCTAAGCATAATTTATTCACACTTACTTGCAATGGATATTAAAACTTCGACATGAATATTATCTGTTTTCTCCATTTTCCAATGTTCAGATTTTTCAGATGACAGTCAAGACTTCTTCTTCTTTTTCAATACCAGAATTTGTCTGTTCCAACCTAAACGTACATCCAGTGCACACAGCACTCTGAGTGATTTTGTTTTGGAATTGACAGAGAAGATTAGGTTATGTTGGTCCTAACCGCGTTAACCATAACCTGACTTTCCATCCGTGGTTTTCCAGCATGGATGTGAATAATTTTTTAAAATGTTAATTATTTCGTCTGGTCTTTTTACAAATTTCTAAATGTCAGTATTTTGCCTTTTTTATTGCCTTGACTATTGTGGAGATTTTTATTCCTACTGATGGCACCATGTGTAATGATATGTCTATCATCTTATAACATCCATGTAATTAATCTCAACAAAGATGTATGTATATTTATATTATCTATTTTTGTGCACATTAATATGATATATCATTGTAGCATCCCTGAAGAAGGAAATAAACATTTCCGAAAGCTTGGATAAACTTTAAAGAGTTTCGCTTTTACTTGCTGCATTCCTAAATATATATATATATATATATATATATATATATATATATATATATATATATATAGGGTGTTCCAATTGAAAAACATGTCGCAGACGTCGTTTTTCCCTCCATTGACCTGATGTTTCAGGAGATTCCTCGAAAATAGATAGTTCGAGTAAAAATTAATTTATTCCATACCCTGGAGGGATATATTCTCCATATTGCTTGCAAAAAGTAGGTAAATACATTGAAATCGTTGACATATGTCGGGAAATTTTAGAAAAAAATATTCACCTCCCCGCTAACGAATTTATTCCAGTTAAAGTCTCCACACTGTATAATAGATGAACGGCTAGTCGTAAATAACGTCGTGAACAGAATTCGCGGAGAAGTTTCAGACTCAACAATCAGTACACAGTTTATGAGCACAGTTAACTGGCAAGTGTCCACAGTGCCCTGATGTTCAAATCATAGGCATTTACGATTTGATATGAGAACAAGACACATACCAATAGTACAATTTCGTTATCCTAAGTATACAGACTGGAACGGGTACTGTGAATTTCTCCAGAAGCACCTAGATTTCAGAATCAGTACTATTAAAAATAGAGCCGAAATCGAAGTGGCGAATGAACGTGTGGCAACCGCCATTCTAACTGCCTATGAGGAAAACTGCCCGACAAATGAGAAAACTGACCATCCTAGAGGTACACCTTTGTTGGAGCAAGAGCCTGGACAAAAGAAGACAAGAAGTTCGACGTCTCTTCAATCGGGCTAAAGAAACAGGGTGCTGGGACACTTGCCGCACATCTCTAACGGCTTATAACAAAGAAATAAGGAAAGCCAAAGGAGGTTCTGTTAGAGTACCTGGCAGCATTAGAATTCACAAAGCTCTCGCCAGAGATCCAACCCAAGAGATTGGCACGATAAATCGACCGGATGGCACTTTTATGTACTCTTGTAGGAAAACGTTAGAGATTCTTCTACAGACTCACTTCCCCGGCGGTCTGCTTCTGGAGGACCGCCAGCAGCCCAGGCAACCAGATGACATTTCAGTGACGTCTTTTACGTCAGTTGAATGACCAAGGTGACGTCAGGAGTTGACGTTGTATGACGTGATAAATAACGTGAATAAGGCACAGCCCAATGACGTCATATTACTCACGTTTATTGACGTCATTCACTCAACATACTGTGACGTCGAACTGACGTTGAAATGACGTTTAAATGACGTTCAAATTGATGATACGTGAACAAATTCCTCAAACATGGTGTGATGACATAGAATATTGATTATGCATTGTTGAGTCTCCTTGGTATTCCCTCCGGTGTCATGTTCATTCAATCGTCTATTCAGCAGCGCTATCCTTCAGTACGCATCTCTATCATAATTATATAAGTTACTCGTATTCGTATAAAAAATTATGTAGTTTGTGTCGGCGAGATGTAAGCCAACCAAGAATAGTTTGATAGCAATGAAAAAGATGTTGGCGAATTCAGCTTCACTTTTTTAAGTAACGTTATATTCATGCATTCTCCGTCACCAAAGAAAAATCTAAATAGCAAATTATTGTAAAATTTTCTGAATGACGAAACTCACCAAATTGGTACATCGACGTGATTTTTTGACGTCATACATACGACACTGCAACGTCATGAAAGTGACTGTTTTTATATGTCCTACATCATCATTTGTATATATACACATATAACTTCATTGTTTACCGAGATATACAGGGTATCAGAATTTGAATTTAAAGTTTTCTCCTACTTTTTGGGTCTATATAATTTCTATAGAACTTGCATGTTGATTTGATTCAATGATGATAAATGTTAGTAAGCATATAAACAAAATTGCCAATATGTGTGTGAAAACTGTGAAATTAATGAAAAAACGATGTCTTCTGAAAATTTTTCGACACTGAAAATGCTCATCCTTTATGTATAGGTACGTCACAAACCTCACGGATTCACATGAAAATGTGAGAATTTATGGTTCAGAGGTGGTCTGGGAAAAATGGACGTCGAGAGGACTTCCCTGCAACGTCATGAAACTGACGTCTTATCTCACCCATCTAGGTGACGTAAACTAGACGTCGAGG